GATGACAGGCTAGACATGAATCAGCAGTGCGCCCTCACAGCTCAGAAGGCCAACCACATCCTGGGCTGCATCAAAAGAAGTGTGGCCAGCAGGTCGAGGGAGGTAATTCTGCCCCTCTACTCCGCTCTGGTGAGACCCCACCTGGAGTACTGCATCCAGCTCTGGAGCCCTGAGCACAGGAACGTCATGGACCTGTTGGAGAAGGTCCAGAAGAGGGCAATGAAAATGATCCGAGGGCTGGAGCACCTCTCCTATGAAGACAGGTTGAGAGAGTTGGGGTTGTTCAGCCTGGAGAAGAGGAGGCTTTGAGGTGACCTCATTGCGGCCTTCCAATACCTGAAGGGGGCCTATAGGAGAGATGGGGACAGACTTTTTAGCAGGGTCTGCTGTGACAGGACAAGGGGTAATGGTTTTAAACTAAAAGAGGGTAGATTTAGACTTGACATAAGGAAAAAATTTTTTACAATGAGGGTGATGAAACACTGGAACAGGTTGCCCAGAGAGGTGGTGGAAGCCCCATCTTTGGAGTCATTCAAGGTCAGGCTGGATGGGGCTCTGAGCAACCTTATCTAGTTGGAGATGTCCCTGCTCATTGCAGGGGGGTTGGACTAGATGACCTCTAAAGGTCCTTTCCAGCCCAAATGAATCTATGATTCTATCAGTTGAAAGTCAGTGTGTGTACAGTATGTATAGAAATGCATATTGGTGTATCTTCATCTATTTTTTTGTATGGGTTCCTTTAAGTGCCCAGAGGTAGAGAGGAAGTGTCTTTCGATTCTTAAAAATTGGGGTAAGATGAGAGCAAACACTGCCAACAATTAATTTGAGAAAGTAATAACTAGATTTAGATTGAATCAAGTCTGGTTTTTAATTTATACTATACGTACAGTGGTGCAATCATTTTAAGTAATTCATTATTTCTCTGTCTTCACCCCCCAGACTCAAAGGTGCTTTTAAACCTTAGAAAAAACCTCCTAATATGATTTGTTTGGTTTTGTCAGAAGAAGGGTACTTCTTCCACAGTTACCTTTAACTTCAGTGGTTATGGTTTTTAGGTGAAGGAGAAGAGCCTTATAAGACAGTGCAATCTATTTTTCTTGGTTTTACTTCTATAATAATGTCAGATGGATTAAAAGCTTGATAGTCCTTAGGAGCCTCTCCTGAAATGGGAGAGATCCAAAGTAGTGCCACTGTGAGGCAGAGGCTTCTGTACGGTTGGCAGCAGTCAGACCAGCAGAAGAATTAGTAAGCTATTAGTGCATACTGAAGGCAAGATGAGCCACAGTTTGTGCTGTCTTTTGCACGGCCAATAGTGAGAGAGTGCTGATGAGGGAGTTGGTGAGAACTGATTTAAGATGACCTGACAGAGGGAGCTACAGGTGTGGTGAAAAGTTGTGGAGGCAGGAGCAGAGATAATTATAGAAACAGACTTTGTTGGTTGCTAATTATTGGCTAGGTAGTCTTCCCATACTTGTACATTTAAGTTTTTATAGATATAGACATAAAAATAGTAGGTCATAGTACTGCAGAATATTAGCTGTCTAAAATGTATATGTAATGTTGTGAATTAATCCTTAGAGTCAGAAGAAGAATTTTATGATGCTCTGAGTAGTCCTGTGGAAGACATGCCATTTTTTGAAGCACCATCTGGTTCCCTCAAGCGAGCTAGTAGTACAAGACGAAAAAAACTACGTAAACAAGAATCTTTGAAAAATATGACAGAATTCCAGCTAAGGTTTGAAGTAGCTGAGGTAAAAGTTACTTTTTTTTAAATTTCTCTGAAGAACATCGGAACTGTAATTTTTCCCTGTTTGTTGTGTTCACGAATCCATGTCTGCAGAGGTATTGATTCCACATGTCTTTCTGAAACTATCCTATAGAGTTTTTTTTCCAAGTCATAGTTGTGCTTCTGCATCTTTTTCATCACTGCAGTGCTTTGATTAATCCACTTTATTTCCCAAGTCATTTTATCACTGAATTCTCTTTACCTAACTGTCGCTTAGAATTCACATTATGTATTTGTTTTGGTGCAAGATGTACCTTTTGACATCTTTTTTTCCAGTTGCTGCTATGGTCCATTAATGTTTCATCTTGTAACAAACCTCACACCTAAATCCATAACATGTTCACTATGAGGTGTTTTATCTGTTATTCTTGCTTTTCAGACTCAGGGAATGAGTATTTTACCCAAATGTAAGACATTGTTTCTAACTGCATCAGTTGGTCTAGTGAAAGGGGTGGCCTCTTACCACTATTATTACCTTTATCCTTAGACCATCATGGCTGTGACAGTGTTATTGCTGCTACTCACTGTATAACTTCACAAATAAACCATACAAATTCAGTTTTAGGATAGGGCTTAGAGAATGGCTTCAACACATCATAACTAGCTTGCAACATGTCTTATTATATATTACACCTTACAGAAAATACCTAAACAAAATTGAAATTTACCATTTTTTGTGTGATGACAAGACCTTGTTTAAGAACTACCAGTCTAAAGATAGATGCTGTATTTTACATTATTCTCTAATGGAAACAATTTATAAGAAAAAGATACAATTGAGAGTCTGTTAAGAATCACCTTCTCTCTGTTTGATGTCTTTATAGTTTAAAATGACTTACTGAGTTTGGTTTTGATTTTCCCTATTTGTAGAGGGCATTATGTGGAGAGGAAGAGTGCATGTCTTCGTTTTGCTTTAGTTGTGAAAGACAGATAGGTATTTATTTAACAGCTCAGCTAGGTATTTATTTAACAACATCTTTGTCATACATGAGTGAAAAAGTAGCAGATACTCTTGCCTGACACTCAGCTTTGGAATCTCTTACCAGGAGAGTTTGAAGAAATTCCAGTGAAAGCGGTAAATTCTTTATGCTGACTGAAAATCTAGTTTTGACTGGGTTAAACATTACTAAATGCTTTACAGAGTTGTTTTTAAAAATAAATTAGTTCATGTAAGTTTAACTTTGGTATTACATGTGTGCATGCTTGAAGTTTTTGTTAAAATAGCAACAAACAGTATTCTAGCAATTTTGCTTGTTGAACTGTTTATTTTTTCCAGGCCATTTGCTGTATAAGGGTAAATGATCAATAAATATAAACCAGTAAAATGTATATAAATATAATCTTATATAAAAACTAAGAGGATAATCCCGTACTTTTTTTTCCCCCTTTTTTTGTTTGTTTGGCTTTTTTAGGTCTTGATTAAATTATGCCGTCTTACTGGTAATACTGAGACACCTGTGCTGCAGCTTGATATTGTAGGGTTAGGCACTGAACTTAAATTAAGAACATTTGACATGACTGCAAATGCTTTCCTGCGTGAAGTTTGTCTGCTGTGCCCAGAGTATATGGGTAAGTATCTATAGTCTGATAAAAAAATTATTAACAAATAACACTGTGAATTTGTCTTCAAAAAGCCTGTAGGGTTTTCTTTTGTTAACTGAGGAAGATTTGCTTCCTAAATTAGATGTGAGGTTAGGGGGAAGGGAAAAGTAATTGAGGAGCTGCTTCTCTTAGTAATGCTTTGTGATTAGATAGTTATGACAGCTGGTAGCCTAGTTTGTATTCTATAGATGACTAAAAGAGTTGTAGAAAACCTAATTTTTTTTTTATTAAAAAAAGTAATCTTTTTTTATTCTTTTGGGGTTTTTTTTAAGATGATAATGACCAGCCAGTTTACATAATTACTACTTTGGACAATGTAGAAGATGATCTTCTCACTCTGGAGTACATAAAGGTGAGAAAAGAGCAGACTTTTGCTTTGGAATTGTAAGCCAATCATAAACAGTACAGTATTATTGAGCAGTTGTTGAAGGTTTTTCCTTACTTATTCATTCCTTAAGATATTGAGTGTCATGTACAAAGTCTGTCTGCTCCCTAACAGATTAACTTGTACATCTGAAATTGTAGTGGTTTTTGAAATAAATTCTCGCTAATGAAATTTGGAAACTTCTGATTTCTTTGTTTTATGTGCACTTTTGGTGGAATAGGCTGATATTAATGGACCGGAACTGAAAACTGCCTATCAGAATGTTCTACAGAAAATAAAGGTATGATATCTTTTTTTAATATAATTTTCTTATTGTGGAAAAAGAAGCATATTGGATAAACATAATTTGTTCTTTTAGGTGAACTTTTCATCTCTAGATGTTCATTTGCATACTGAAGCTCTGCTGAATGCTATGAACTATCTGAATAATCTTCTACCCAAACAAGAAACTAAAGTTGCAGAAGAACCGGTCCATGAAAAAATAGAGGAGAAGAAGGATGTTCTTAAGAAATTAAGTAGGTTTCTTCATTCTCTTTTTTTTTTTTTTTTTTTGTGCTTCCCTCTTTTCATTCCTCTTTCTTCACTTATTTAAGCAAGGAAGAAAACAGACGTATTTTCTATTTTTGTAAGCCTGTCAGTACTTTTGAAATGAGAAATTTTGTTTAGTGTATATTTACTTATCCGCTGCACAACCTTTCTTAATTTCAGTGATAATAAGAATGTTAGCTATCAGAGTAGTTATGGAGTAGCAAGGGTATATTCTTATTCCGTGGGTGGAAGTGTGTAGATGAGGAATAACTGTATAATTAATGAGGCAAGGTAGATGCTGCAGCTGTTGACATTTCCTAAGATAGAAGTACTAAGCATGTTTTTTGAAGATAGGTGTTCAAACTTACTTATTTATGATAATCTGCATTGAATGGTAGCTTACTGGCAATGATTAGATTCCTAACAGTGTTCTCCCGTATAATGAGAAAAGTATCTTTGCATTACAGCATTTGTGTGGAAAAGGTGTTTATAAAAAGTAAGGAAATAAAAAACTTCGTGCGTTAGCAAAATTAGCATGATGGTGAAAACTTTCTGTGATGTGTGTATTAAATATATTCTAGACGCTTTTGTGCTCTCCAAACAATAGCATAATTACCCTTTTTCTCTAACTCCTCAGTGAAATGACTTTGTACACTATCTTTCTTCCTATCATCAAAATATTTTTGTTGGTTTATGCTTACAACCTGCAGATAGGTACTCATTTAGCAATTTATTGATGTGTAGACATTGGTTGTAGAAATTAGTACAAAATATACACTACTGCATTTCATACGCTCCAGGACAGTTTTGGTTACTAGTGATCTACTGAGTTGCTGAATGGGTAGATTCTGTTTGGCACCAATTTTGTAGGAATAATTTGTTGGAATTGCTACTTTGGGTTTATCAACTTGCACATGAATTTGGTTTTACCTTGAAGCATAATAAATAGAAAGCCCTTGCATGGTGGAAGGTGGCTTGAACATTTTCAGTCTTTTGTTATATGAAGCTGGTAGTAGCATTCATTAATATCAATTACTATGTTTTTAGGGACACATAAGTAGACTATTCCTGCAGTTTGAGAGAAATGTGCTGAGCCTCCTCATGTTTATCACAGGTAGCTGGTGCTCTGTAGGTATCTGGTTTGTATGTGTAAAATTAGACTTCCTAGCTTTTCTCAGCCTGCAAAAGCATTAACACTGTTGCATACTGAAAGGAGTGCGGGCTAGTCAGTTACCCAACAATATTGGTCTGAAGGAATTACTCTGCTCTAGTGAAGTTAATCTCATTTCTTTCCATGTGCAGTTTTCTGCCATATTGGGTAAGACATACTTTTGTTGTGTATTCAAGGCACAGGGTATATGCCAAAATCTCCCCATAAATTGTCTTTTTGAGTTTCTCCCTACCCTCCCCCAGCTGAATTGAGATTTGATTGCCTTATAGTTATTTCATTACTTTATCTTTGAGAAACATCAATCTCTCGTGAATAACTCGCTTTTATGTTGAAATTATTTATGTTAAAATTATTTAACAAGTTTATCATTCTCAGAAAAATAATTTGACAGATCTGATTTGTTGATAAAGTTGTGCAAGAGCAAACAAACAGGTCACCTCCGTTTTTTGAACTTGTGTCTGGGAGCTACTTTGAAATGAACACTTCTATTAAATGCTCAACACTATGCCAATGATGTTCATTTCTGCTCTGAGCAGGACTTCTCTGAGATCTTTGCAATCATTGCTTGCTGTTAATCGTAAAACACTGAGGGTCCAGATAGTTATTAAAACAAAAAAAGAAAACACATACACAAAAACTATGGTGGAGGATAATTCTCAAGGTGGTTCTAGTTGAAGTATTGTAATACTCTGCGTTACTGATTTCAGTAGTTCTCCTGTATGACTGATCTAGCCAGCCGGCTGGTACGCTGATGAGATCTTTCTGAGGCTGCCTGCATTCACTGATGTTAGTTCTTAAAAGCATTTCTAGTTAAATTTCGATACTAGTTTGGTATCTTTAAACCCCAAGTATCACATCTGCAACACTTGATGAGATTTTTTTTTGAGAATGTTAATTTGTTTTGCCTTTACAAACATGTTTCTCTTTGGCAAAACAGAAATATATTTGTAAGTCTAGTGTATACTTTCATTCAGTGATGAATTCACAGTGTTGCTAAGGGTCGATGATTTTATTATGGGAGGTCCGTGAACTAGTAGCCTGATTGTGTTTTTTGAGGAAGAACTTGAGACAGAAATGGTACCTGTATTAGGAACAAACAATTCAAGCTTTTGAGTGCACAGCTCTTCTTGGGGCTTGAGTGTTTGTTTCCTGTATGTAGTTAAAAGAAATCAGTTATGTTAATTTTTTAAGCATTTTGAAAGGAAAGGTAATTATCATGTCTGGAGCCAAATAGGTTATTAATAAAATGAGAGAAAATAAAGTTTGTAGCCTCTGTTTTTGCGGCGGGAGATAGAGGAAGATGAAAGAGAATATGTGCCTTAGGAATGATGAGAAATCATTTGAGATGAGATGTAGGAAGAATATTAATATGTCACACAGCCATTGGCTGTCAGCTGATGATTTTTTTTAGTATTAAAATTGGTTGAATGTTTATTACTTTTAATTTTGCTGGTTTTAGCTTTGTATGTAGATTACCTTTAAGAATTTACTACTTGGGACTCAAAGTCCCTGAATACAAGATACGCTATTTCCCTTTGTCATTTGAGGTAGCGCATAACATTACTTCAGATTTGTCTTTCAGAAAAAGTAGACTAAGGTATTGGCTGAGTCCCTTATCTGTTGGCTTCTATATTTAGCACTGTACCTGCAGATAGTGTTGTGTGGCATCAGTCATGTCTGCTTAAAATGAACAGAGATTATTTCTGTTAACATGAAATAGAATATTTTTATTCTTATTCAGTTTTGGGAAAACAAAAAATGGACTAAGTATTTGAACACCTCTGTTCTGAAAGGTACTATATTTGTGCTTGTATCTTTTGTAGGTCTTAAGGTTGCCCATACTCATTTTGAAGGATGGCCACTGTCCCTTCTCTTCAGTGTCTAGTTATATTAATGGTATTTTCATGTTTAAAACTTAAGTTTAGAAAATACAGGTTGTGGAGATTAATAAAAAGTCACCTACTGTATGTATACAAGACTATTGATTGCAGATGACTAAACAACAGAGCAGACAGAGTAGTGTATTAATGTAGCTATCATGTTACCACTATTTGAGCTAAACTGCTTAGTCCTGAATAACCTATTTCTAATTTTACATTGTGCTGTGTAGATGTATATTAAATGTATTTCTTGCAGTTAATAAAATACTGATGTTGATTACCACAGTTTGTGAAGCACATGAGGACTCCTGTATATACAATCCTGTATATACAATTCTTTTGTGTCATACTTGCTAGTATGAGTGCAGTGTGTTTTGCCAGGGCTGCAGGCTTGATACAAACTAGGCTTTGGGGAGGGGATACTAAAATATTACATCTCTTCCTTGAAGAACTGTCATTTTTACTATTTTGTATTTCCCACAGCATCAAAAAAATCGAAGTATGAAGATGTTATTGACCTCAATATCTGTGCAGATTTATCCTGTTTACGTATCTTTATTAGAGAGAAAAAACACAGAATAGCTGAAATTCACATTGAAGGTAGGAACAAAACTTTAATCACAAAGGCACAAAAATTTGTAATCAGAATTGTTTCTAGATTTTGTATGTCTTTTTTTTTTTAAGGTCTGGATAGCCAAGTGATCATGAAGAAAGCAGCAACGGAAGTGACTGCAAAATTAAAGAACATCATTATTGTGGATTCTGATGACACGGCATTGTATAAAAAGGTATGCATTCGCATGTATCATTGATTTCTGAATGGAATATAAATGCTAAATTTAACTTACTTTGTGGACTCTTTCTTTAACCGTGATTTTTTCCTTTTTAATAATGTTTTATGTATTTGCTGGAAGCATTATTCTCTATAGGCAGACTGATTTCACCCCCACAACTGGTGATTGTGAGGCTGACATTGATTTTGTGCAACTGTGATGCCCAGCTGCTCATTACGCTCCATATTTTGTTGACTTTAATGGACAGAATTATTCAAGCTGAGATTCCAACTGAATATTTTTAGCTATTTCAAGGATTTTTTTTCCCATTTGTTGTTGAAATATTTGAAATAAAATGTCTTAGTTTGAGGCACTACATTTTATTTTGGAATTCAGTTTCTCCAGCTTAAGTTTTTACAACAGAGATACTTCTTTTTTTCTTCATAAGGCTCTTTACATCACAGGAAAAGAAGTCTTCAACTTTAGAATGGTATCATATGTGAATGCTACAGACGGCATTGCGTATACAAATATGGATGTTGTTGACAATCGTGTTTACTTAACTGTTGGCTGTATTCAAGTAGTTTTTGTCAACAAGTTTGTTTCATCTATTTTGGTAAGTTAAATTTTCGAGACTGTTCCTTAGCATTCAGATAACATTGTCAGAACTAGAAAAGGATAAAGCGTCCCATATGGGGTGATGCCCGTTTGTGTAAGAATTCTTAAGTACTATTGTAAAAACTTCACTGGGATTGGTAGTTGGGCTATTTACTTTTCTTCTCCATATGTTTGTTGTTGTGGAGTCAGTGGCTAAGCAACAATATGTGCTATTATTGTTAGTAATTTTTTTCTTTAAATGACTGGTGGCAGCTTTTAGATACACACACTGTTCATTGTTTATAACACTGAAATACAAATAATAAACCGTGAAAATCAATGCCTTTTCCATAAATTCTGCTCAGTAAACCTATCTTACTCTTCATATGAGTAAATAAAACGTAGTTCATACAGGTGATGTTACAAGGTCATTGCTGTTACCATCTGATTTGCCAAATATATAGTATGGAAATTTGTTTTTATATATAAGCATACATTATCATATTTTGGGGGAGATTATCCTATTAAAGAATTCAGAAGACGGGCATAGCAAAAATAGTTTCTTAAGACGGTTTGCTCTTTTAAAAACTATGATTCTTAGTGTTCTTGTAGTCGTGTAATTCTGAATAAAATTCCCAAGATCTGTATTCTTTTCCTAGGCTTTTATAAATAACTTTCAAGCTGCCAAGGAAGCTCTTACTGAGGCAACTGTTCAAGCAGCAGAGAAAGCAGCTACAGGTGTAAAAGAGCTAGCGGAGCGTAGTTCCCGTTTGGCACTAGATATCAATATTAAAGCACCTGTTGTGATAGTTCCACAGTCAGCAATGTCTGCGAATGTCCTGGTGGCTGATCTTGGTCTAATCACTGTGAAGAACCAATTCTTTATTGCCAAAACAAAAACACGGTATAATCTCCCACCTGTTGTTGACTCTATGACAGTGAAATTGAGTGAACTAAAGTTATACAGGTAATGTAGTGTCAAGAGTGGTTTTTTTTTTTAATTCATGTAGTCCTTTTGGGATACTTCAGTTGGAGAGCTTTGAGAAGTTATCAGAATAATTAGTTAATGGTTGGTTGGTTATTATCTTTAAATATAACAGCAAATTAATAAAGTTTTTATAAAAGCAATTAAAATGTGTGGTTCAGGAGAAACAGCAATCTATAAATCTTTAAATAGAAGCAAGTGTTTGTTGAGGCAATATTGTGTAGAATAGTAGACTTGCGCATCAATCGCTACTTTGGAATAGGTTATACCCGTTTGCAAATGGCTGTTTTGATGGGATTTTCAAGCTATACATAGCAAGAAAGTTACCAAGTCTCATAGCCATAAAGAAGTGTTTGAAAATAGGCCTTGGTGCAGGGGATTAGGGAGAGGAGAAGGAAGGGAAGGGGATTTTCAAACACGGTTGAAGCGTACTGAGGAAAGGAGGAATTGCTTTCCAGTGGAGAGCAAATAAGAGGTCCTAACTTGCAAGAAGTTAATAAGTTGCGTGCCGGGTGCGTGCCTGATTTGTCTCCTCCCTGCCAAGAAAAGCTATCTATTTGGTGGAGTAAGGCTTTAACTAGAGATACTAGGAGTAGTGAAGACAGTTTTATAGTACTATTCAAAAGTAAGGAAAAGACAGAAATGTGTTTGTGTTGGTTAGAATGTGTCAGAGAAGTATGTCAAGTATGGGTGTATTTTATTTCTGTTCACAGATCATGCTATGAGCAAGGTTCATTGCAAACTGAAGTACAGTTGCTGCAGCCACTCAATCTGGAAGTAGCTGTTGAACGAAATTTAGCTGCTGCATGGTATAACGAAGTTCCTGATATTGAAATATCTGGCCGACTCAAGCCTATGAATGTAAGCACTCATTTCTGAAAGCAGCTGTTAAAATATCCATGGGAAATTGATTCATTTTTCTGTCCATAGAAGTCCACATTCCTTTAGGGTATTGTTTGATTTTAAGACATATAGGTAGAGTGGATTTTGTTGTTTCATAGGGAAAAAGGAAGTGAATAGCTTTCTATTCTAGTCTAAGCTCTGTATTTCATCTGCGATACTGCAGGCAGACTTTGTACTATATGTTACTGTTGCTAGTTAGAAATGGGTATGCTGTTATAGCCGCCTTTTACCTGTCAGTATCTTTTAAATGATTGGAAAAAGTTGGAAATTTATTGGTTCTTTAGTCTCTTAAACTGAGACTCAAATGAGGTTAATTTGGTTTATCTGTTTATTTGTGAACTTAGATTTTAGTTCCCAAAAGTTTAATGAACTGAGTTGTTCTAAGTTTTAACAATCTTTTTTAAAGCTAATTCTCAGTCAGGAAGATATTACCACAATACTAAGGACACTAAATGAAAATATAGGTGGGAGCTCTGATGCATCAACATCTTTACCAGAACCAAAAGATACGACTAGCCATTGTAGTGATATGCATAGTACTTCACAGCACTCTGCAGGTAATGTTTTCTAAAATTATGTTTGGCCTAGCATTGTTAGGTATTGCTATCAATTTATTATTTATGAAAGGATGCCAGATTCAGTTGTTTTTAACAGTATGCCTCTATAATCTTGGCACTGTGGTTTGAGCTATACTGAGCAATAATGACAATGAATAGGAGCAACTGGGCCACTGTAGTGAGCTTTTTAGCATGATGTATTCCAATGTAAGGGCTGTCTTGTTCTGCTGGCAATAATGCAGTGAGCATCTAAGTCTGTCAGCTGGATTTGCTAACATCCCAACTTTGGAAAGCTGCTATACTACTCTTTTTCCTGTGCATGCTGGCTCTGTTGCTCTTCGGTTTTAAATCTGTTTGTCTTGTGATGATGGCATCCTTAAAAGTTGTTCCTATTCAGTAGGCATCATTGCCCATAAACTGTTTAGCACACACTAAAAAGAAGGCAAGTAAGGTTAAGAAAAGAATCTTTTGTTGAACTCTTCCATTAAATGTGAGAAATAGCAAAAACGTGGCAAGATGTACAAATGATGATGAAAGTAAATTTGTATTCTTTGGAACATTCTTGCACACAGTACTGTATAACATTAAGGGAAGCTGTACACTGATGTCTTAAAGATGGTAAAAATTGCATATAGAATACATTAAGCAGAGTATTTTATTTTCTCAAACATTGGGTGGTTTTGCCAAAAGTAATTACAGAGACCATGATAAATGTATCCCAAGTCTGGATGGATTTACATGTGGAGTAGAAGGGAAGTTGTTGTCTTCATAGTCATTAGTGAGGATGATGCTTTTTTTGATTTGTGGGGTTGTTTTGTTTTTTTCCGCCTTGTATCAGGTAATTTTCTTTAATATTAAAGTGTTTTTCTAATTTCTGAAAGGTGTAACTGTTGTGACATCAGCTGTGGTGGAATTGCATTCACCTATGAAAATAAAAACAACACTAAAACTGGACTTCAGATTCGACTCTCTGACTCTGGTATTGTATAGTCCAAATTCAAAACAGGTAAATATAATTTTGGTTACGAAGAGGAAGAAACAGCTTTAAGGTTGCCTAGAGTCCTGGAAATTCTGAACAGGAATAGTTTAATTTATGAGTAGAGGAAGTGATTTCTAGCAATAGTAACAAACATGATGGAAATTATAAACAGCTATTTTAACTAAATCACATGGCAGATATTACAGGAAAGAGAATAACCAGTGGTAGCACAAAATACGTGGCATCTTCTGTGATCTGACTAAAAATTTTCTGAAAACTTGTCTTAGTTTAAAATACAATTTGGGAAGAAAAAATGCAGAAGGATGCAACCTATTCTTTAGATACAGACACACACGCACGCATGTGTGTGGACACACACACATATATAAATAAAGTTGTGGCGAGAGATTTAAAATTGGTATTACAATTTGAATGCATTTTTATTCTTCTTGGTTTAAATTTACAAAATTTGTCAGCAAATTTCTGACTAAAAGTTTGATAATATTTTTTTGTAAACTTGCAGTCTGTTATTTTGTATTTTGAACAATTTTCCAGTATCTGGATAAACAGTATGTAGTCATAAGAGACAAAACTTAATTTCTTATTTGACATTTTGATTGCCTATACTATGTGCTTTTAAGTATGAAACAAACCAAAATTGCATATGACAATTCTACTTTCTTTTAAACATTGTCTCCCTCTCACTAATGTAAGCTTGCTTTAGCAGGGTGGTAGAAGGATAAAGCTTTGATTTATTTTTTTCAGTTTTCTTTGTATGTTACTGATTTTTGTTGTGTTTAGAATTACTAGTGGGTTTGTTTGATATATTATTATTAGAAATTTTACCACTTAGAATAAAGCTGTATGTCACTTCTACGTATTATTTCCATTACCTGTAGGCAAATCCACAAACATATTTTCATTTGGTTTAAACAGATTACAAATTTGGATCAGAGAGATGACCTTTTGAAGCTTGCAGAGTTTAAATTAGTTTTGATGTCAGCTGCTGTCAAAATGTTATCAGATGGTTCAATGAATGCTTCCGTCAAGCTGGCAAACTGTACATTAGATGATAAAAGACAGTCAATCCAGAAGGCTACACCAAGGTCTGTATTGTGACATAAATTACTGTTTATTGGAGTTTGACAGAGTTTCAAATGTTTGCATTTTAGTATTCTGTTAAAACTGGAATTGTTTTGGTGTAAGTAGTTCTTGAAGTATACGTTACTGTAGGCTTATGTGTCTCACTTGCCTTTTGTTCCACATGTTGTTTATGAGACCAGTATAAATGCTAGAAATGAACTTTAATATGAAATAAAACAAACTTTAAATATGAAATTAATAAATACATATAGAAACAAATTTCATTTTCAGCTTTAATAAGCCACTGAGTAAGACTAAGATTTTTTTTTCATGAAGAGTAACAAACTTCGGTGAAGTATAATACTTATGATATGTAAACAAAGAATTGTCATGGTTTGACTTGTTAAAATTGTGAACACCTTTAGTTGTCAACGTATGGGAGTCCAGTTAGTTTTGAATTTTTATAGAATGTATGTTAAAGTTTCTATTGGTTTTGGTTTTTGGTGTTACTTTTTAATTCACTTTTGTTAATGTATTGCAATTGGAGTGAGAATCTTGAGTGTTTTTCAGTATTTGTGGCTGCTTTTTAAGGCTGGTTTTTTATTGTCTCATTAAATGCCACCTTAATGGTCTTTCAGGATGGTGGAAATGAAACATGGATTTGAAAAGAAAGTTATGGTGGATATAAGCTATAAGCAGGGGCGAGATGGCACTGTTCTTGATGTGATTGTTCAAGAGACATACCTTTGTGCAAGCATGGAGTTTCTACTTACTGTTGCAGATATATTCCTAAAAGCTAATGCAGAAAGTGCTGCTGCGCAGAGAAATCTCAAACAGTCATTACCTTTAAAGGAGCAAGGTATATACTGGAAATATTTAAAAATTTGTGTTTAAATATCCATTTAATTTTGGTATTATAATACTATTTTAAAAATTATAATACTCCTTTTATGCTGTTTCCTGTGTTTAAGTGTGTAGAACAACTTCTTTTAACCACTGATGTGTCTTTCTTTGCATCATGGAAATTGGTTCACGTCCCTTGGTCTTTATTTCTAAATGAAGCTTTGTCCTGCCAGACAAAAGGCAATACCTAAAAATGTATGTCTAAAAATAAAATGGGAAAAGACAATTACAGCTGGCACTGTCTAGGTTGGTTTGGCTGTCTTTGCCGTCTCAACACAGTTTATAATGGTGATTACCACTGTCATCGTTTTCATCCTTCCTGAGAATGATGGAGCATATTGTATTATACTTAAATATGAATTCAGCCTGCTAGATATTGCTGCCTAGAAATGTTGTCATTTGAATTGTCCACTGATGCGTGTTTCTTGCTACATCAAGAAACGGGCTTTTAGCTTGCGTGCCCGATTTAGTGTTTCTAGTTTCTATAGGACCTTATACCTGACATCAGAACTTAGCCCATTAGAACATCAGAGCGGGAAATGGGCTATTTATGCTTCAAGGTCTCAGGTAGTTCACATCAGATCTGCAAAGCAAGTCCCCTTTTTTTGTTTTTATTTTCCGATACCCTAAATATTTTAGTTGTGTCTACCTCAGCTAGGCCTCCTGTGGTTATTTAGTAGGTGACCAAAATCTAAACAAATTAGGAAATCTTACGTAAAAGGATATTGGTACTGCAAATGGTAACATCAAGCACTAGTAAATGGTGCATCATTGTCCTATGAAAAAATGTGCATTTTGCTCCTCCAGAGAGCAGAAAATGTGTCCAGCATTTTCGTAAGACCTTATCATAGCTGGCTGATGTAGATATTTAGTGAAGCTGATACGTTTGCTAGTGTCAGAGGTAATAATAGGGGTGATACTGTTATCCTTTTCATTTTGACAAAGAAGCTTTGTGGAATCTTTTATTGTATCTGAAAGTAATTAGGGCTTTAATGGGTTTTGTATCTCCAGTGAAGAGCCTAGAAATAAATCAGTTGCAGAAATCTACAGGTTTTCTGACACGTTATGCTAGATCTTATCACTAAATCTTTAAACTTCATTGTAAGTTATAAGAGAGATGTAAATAATGACAATTTAATCTTTGAAGAATTCATCTAATTTAATTTATGTTTTTGAAGCACCTGTGCAGTCTGTATCTACAATGGAAATGAACATTGTTGTTAAAAATCCAGAGATTGTGTTTGTGGCTGATTTAACAAGAAGTGATGCTCCTGCATTGGTGGTTACAACACAGTGTGAGGTCTTCATTAAAAATAGCCCTGAAAAGTATAGCATGACAGCTGCTGTTAAAGAGATACAAATGAAAGCATGCCCATTTCTTCCAGAAAAAAGGAAAGGGAACGTTACTACGGTGAGTTTGCAAACGTCTCATTTGTATTTAAAAGGTGCTGTGTAACTTAAACTACTAGAATAGAAGTTATTTCTGAACTTCTCATCATTAGAATGTGTATTACAGACATACAAGTAAAATTTTGTGGCTAACTATTTTGTTGATTTTGTTCTGTTTTGTCTGATATGCCAAAAACGTCATCTTGATCTGTGGCTTTGAGGTTTGCCTTGTATGAGAAGCTAAAATTAATAGCCCAGAGCAATAAAATACTACTAATCTCCTATATCCTGTATAATGCAAATAAATAGAATTTTATGAGTGTACACTATTTCAAATGCAGTGTAGTAACTCTGGAAGACTTTCACTCTGAAACTTTGCATTAAATAGCTATGTCAATGAATAACAAATGGTCATAGACAGAATGGGAAGTATGTATTATGAAGTAAATTACTTACGGTGTGCTGTTCATAAATTCCTTTGTGTTAAAGTCCGTAGATCTATTGAATTAAAACTACCTGTTTATATTTTGGCAGCAGAATCAGACTTGTTAGTTACTGGCCAGGTGGGAATGCACTGACTCCTGGAGCTTTCTACAGCTTTTCTACCTCTACAGCAGACTATACCTCAGTTAACTCTGTAATGATATTGTCGTCTCAGAACAAAAAATCAATTTGACAGCATATCCAACTGTTACCTGTGTCCTCAGACCACAGGTGAATTTTGAAGAACGAGTATTTTCAGCTCTCCATTACTTTATGGAGCTACATAGGAAAGACCAAAGCTGTAAGCACAAAGGGCTGGGACTTCCACTTCATCGCCTTATCAGATACTTTCATAGCAGCTCAGTTTACTCCTTGGGTAGATGCAGTCTTTGATTGCATTAATCTGTTAACAATCTCGTCATTGAGAAAATGATACACTTGCACTGATAGCCACAACACAATGCAAAGTTGCTTAACTTCCATTTCTGAGCTGGTGAATGTGGCACAAATGTGGGTAGCTTTGTAGAAAGCAATTAGAAGACTTCACACTAAGCTTTCCCTCTTCCAGGAATATCTTCTGCCAGAATATCTTATCTCAGACTGTAGAAAGCAGAGAAAACGGATACTTGTACTGTAAAGCGGGAAAAAACTTTAGAGGACCTTAGTTTTGATGCTTAAAATGGTACCTTCTTTGAAAGATTCAGAAAGTTATTGGGAGAGTAGTAGAGGTCAAAAAAGATTATTTTCTTTGCAGGTAGCAGCATAACTGCCTCTTTTGAAAACATGTATGTAAGGAAATCTCTGAACCCAGGTTTTCTGTAGAGTATGATTTCAGTCTGGGAAAATCAGAGAAATAGAGATTCAGATGATATTCCATGGCTGCCTTTGGTCAAGAAAGAAAATGTATGATATGAAGATTACAGTATTTCTGAAGGCTGATACTGATGTGAAGATTTTACATTGCCTAAACTTTGGGCACAGTGGTGATGGATGAATTCCTCTCATGATCAATAGATTGCCCCAGATAGGCAGGAAACTAGTCTCTGGATTTACAGTAGCACAAGTGATGAGGTTCTTTCTGTACATTTCTCTCATGTACCTTGGTCTAAAGAAGAATATGTTATTTTTCACTCCTGGATGTAACACAGAAGAAGGAAAAAAAAAAACTTTGAGCAGCAGAGGATAAAATAATGATATGGCCAAAAATTTCTGTTAGATCAAACTCACTTGGGAAAAGTGCGGTAAAACTGATTCAGGGTGTTTCTGTGCCTCTGGCAGCTGATTCAGATATGGACAGAGATGTCAGGAAAAATTTTAAAATCGATATGGTTTGAAATTACTGTTTTTGAAAGACTTACCTTCTGAAGTAGGGACTGGAAAGCAAATTTTCCTGTCAATACAGTATCAGTAGAGTCCAACTGCATCTGAGTGTTTCATTAACCACATAGCACAATGATTTTGTTTATAGTGTACCTTAGATTTGGTTTTGGTAAACCTTGGAAAGTGAGTATGCAAGGACTGATTGTAAAATAAAGCTGGAACTGAGTGATTGTGATTCAGACAGAGATATTTTTATTCAGGAAAACTGTAACTGTTGTTGCTGTGTTGCCGTTAACTGAAAAGTCTGGTTGTCCTCAGAAGTCACAGGCATGATGATGCAGTGTATTTGAAGACGTTTGCAGACTTTGCCTAAAGAATGGAGTGCAATGCATTTTCCTGTAGCTGACATTTGTATCTTTAATGATTGAGAATGGCTGAGGTGATGCTTCTGATACTTTATTTTCTTTATGTTTGAACATGTTTTTTGTGTTCAGATTACTCTTGATTTTGAAGAACCAGATAGTGGTAACTTTTCCTTTCAGTACTTTTGTGTAGTATTTAGAAGTATATGATTTTTGAAAGATTTTTTTTCTCTGTTTAACGTGTGTTTTTGCTCTTTTGTATAGGTATTACAGCCTTGTGACTTCTTCTTTGAAATGAAACAGTCAGGTACTAATCCACAGACAGCTGATCTAACGCTTAAATCTCTAACAATAAAAGTAGGTAAACTTTTATTGTGTTTTTAGTTCTCTACTTCCTGCTCAGAAGTCTTTGAAATGTTTCTTAAAAAATAAAATCAGGAATAACTGAAATGGGGATTTGTTTCTGTTCTTCATCAGGTCATCTACCTGTTCAGCATATGAAAACAAGCAAAATTGAAAATTAGCAATCATGTCATAATGCTTTGTTTTTGGAATCTGTGTTTTATAAACTGGCCTGATGTGCAGAGATAAGTTTTGAAGTGTTCAGATAGAGTGTTAGATGGTGTAGTTTAGAAAGCTCTTATCTGGAAGCTCCCCCTGGAAGGCAGGGGTTGAAAATCTGAATAGGTTGAACGATAGCTTGTGGAAAGGAACAAGTGTTGAAACATGAGTCCTGTAGAGAACAGAGGTGTTTTGTTAGTGTAATATATTAATTATAATTTTGTGTCTCAAAGTAGCTGTTTCCTATATTAGCTTCTTGTTTCAAATTATTCCACATTCTTATTTGTAGGTTTCACCAATGATTATAAACACAGTAATTACTATTACATCAGCCCTTTATCAAACTGCAGAAACAACAGAAGAAGAGATCACTCAAATTCCTCCAGACTTGTGGAATAAGAAAGATATAAAAAATCTAAAAATGTGGTTTCTCGAGGAGTCAAATGAAAATGAAGATAGAAATCCAACTGCTGAACTGGTTCCCACGGGAGAGTCATTGAAAATGAATGTAGAATCTGTTTTTCTAACACTTGAAGCTGGGGTTGGGCACCGAACTGTACCAATGCTTTTAGCCAAGTCCTCGTTTCTTGGAGAAGTCAAAAACTGGAGTAGTCTAATCAACCTACGTTCTTGTCTTGAGCTAGAGGTGAGGAATCCTACATAAGAAAGATGTTTAGTTAAAATGAAAGTCTAATGCATTGGATGTAGTATATTAATGGCAGTAAATTGGTCATACACAAGCTCACATTTAGACTCTGTACAAAGTTCCCAAAGGCCTGTTGCATCAGTGTTATATTTTGGAGTAGCAACTGGCTAAAACTCTTTGACAATCTTAATTTAGTATTACAATAGAATATATTAATGTGTCATTTCATTTCTGTAAAATACTATGTGGTACCAGTATTGTACGTAAAATGTTCAAACTGGCTCGTGTTTGGAAATTAGTGACATAAAATTCAGTGGTTGTTGTAGGTAGATTCTTCCTTGTTTATAGTGCTTTAGATTTCCAGTGCCTACAGTTTAAGCCAAAATTATATTTGAAGTGACACATTTTATACCAGCTATTTGAAACTAGGTCTTTGCAGTAGAGACTTGTCTGCCTCATTTATTTCTCTAATGCGTTTGCTTCACCTTATGGTGGGAGCTGAAAGTGTGATCTGACTATAAATCTTTTATATTACCAAAGCAATGAATATACTTGTAAATCAGAATTTTAAGTCTTAAAATCTGTAGTGCTTTCATTGATTTAACCATTGTATGTAATTTCCTAATTGACTTCTGCATTTTGATAGGTACACTATTTTAACGAGATGTTTGGGGTGTGGGAACCTTTGCTTGAACCACTAGAAGTTGAGAAGACTGATTTATTCAAACCATGGATTCTTGAAATCAAGGTATATTTTCCAAAGCTGAACTCAAATCTTCCATTTCAGTACCTTAGAAAAAACAAATGCTCTGCATCTTTCATTTCTGGGACTAACCTAACAATTTAGATCCTTCTTGTTGGTTCCTGAGACTTTTTTCCCAATTAGTGAATGAAACCAGCTCTTGCACAAGTGAAGATTGAGACTCACAGATCTGTTAAATAATACTGTCTTTCAGGTGGCAAGAAGATTTGATTCCAGTTGTACTAGATAATATAATGGCTTTATATCAGTTTCTCTGAAGTTAGGTTGTATGCTAATGATGCATTCAGTGACTTCGGAAAGATAGATGACCACTCGTCTCGTTCCACAGTAGTATCTGTGGCAGACAGGTATTGGAAAAGATGATACCTGTTATTGACTAGGACAAAGTGGACTGTGGGAACAGTGCTCCTATCACTTCAGTTCTATCTTTCATAAGGAAATAGTCTAGATTCTGGTCTCAAAGTAGATGAGCATTTGTGTAAGGAAGGGAGATACTTCCCCACCCCCACTCCCCCTTCTGTCTTAACTGTTTTGTTGCATTGTTTTCTGATTTTTTCAAAACTTTTCAAGTATTTTTTAGCCTGAGAGGTTGATCAGAATGGAAAAACAGCCCTTTTCCTAGGACTGAGATTGTGCAATTAAGAAATTGCTGTTAATAATATTCCTAAGCATTTCCCAGAAAGATATGAAACCTAATGCAGGAGAAAGGTGGAAGATGATGCGTCAAACCTTATATCTTCTTGCCCAGATTTGAGATACAACATTTGGAAATACGTAATTTCCAGAAATGCTGAAGGCCAGGAAAATGTATTCCATGTGATTTTTACTTTTTTCCTTCAAACAAATGAAAATATGCAAAATAAGTATTTGGTTTGGAAACATGTAAAGACTAAATTTGAGGTTACTGTTTTAATAGGAAATAAATTATGTATAATAGTTTTTACACAGTGTTATTAGACATGTTAAGGTGGATGTTTTCACACAGCATTTGTTTATGTTAGGATATGTTAGTAGTTAGTATGTAAGTGTATGTTCTTTATTTTTGAATAATCATAAATTTAGCTACTGTTACTGGAATTTCATTGACTTCTGAAATACATCTTTTGCCTCTTGCCTTCTTTATTCTCTCCCTCTTTTGTCTTTATTTGAGAATTAAAACATGAACAAGAAAAAGGAAAACTGTGGTAGGACGTAGAAGCAGGAAAGGGAGACAAAGGGTCTTGAGGTGAAACTTCCTTCTATAGAAGGAGTGGTCAGATAAGAATTCTTTAAAAATCTCCTTTCAGATGAAGAAGAAGGCTAAAAAAGCATTGGTTGAATCAGATGCAGAAGAAGAAAACTACAAAGTTCCGGAATATAAAACAGTGATAAATGTTTCCTCAAAAGACCAGCTGAACATTACGCTATCCAAATGTGGACTACAAATGTTGAGTAACTTGGGCACGGTAAGAAAGATTACTAAACTATGCAGTGTCAAAATTGTTAAATGAATGTTTGCATGGATTGTCTTGATGAAGTCTTAGTCAGTATCTTTACGTTTTGTCTCGGTACTTTGCTTTCTAGGCATTTGCTGAAGCAGCTAGTCAAACTTCGGACATCTTCAAAAAAGACCGAGCACCATTTGTAATAAAAAATTCGTTAGGACTTCCCATCACTGTCTCACCTAGTGATTCCTTTAGTGTCCTTAATGTTGAGTTTGGAGCAAAAGTATTTCATTTAAGAGATGGAGAGAATTTAAACATGGAATTTGTCAGAACTAAAAATGAGAGCGACCAGTTCACAGCAATGACAACTCTGAGTAGCAAGAGGTTTTACATTCAGATCTGTAAGTTCCAAAGTTCATACATCTTCTGTTTTTTTAAATACTGCATGATGCATAATACCGCATCTTGTACAGATCAATAAATACTGGGGGACAACATGACACAAAAGGAGTGTTTCTTTGGATTCTAGATGCATGGCAGTATTTGAAATCCTACTTTAGTCTTTGCAGCTAAAACTTAACGTGTGTCACACTTGTTAATTTTTGTAGCATAAATTTTCTGCTATGATTATTTAAGTATCTAATCTTTATTTCATAATTTTACTGGAATCAAATATTTTTGTTTGTAGTCACATGTTAATGCAGAATTAAGCCACCCAAAATAGTTGTTTGGGGTTTTTTTGTAGAATTCTGAGGCCTGTATATATGTATGTTCATAGAGGAAGTTACTCTTAAGGGTGATGTTTTTAAGAAAAGATGGTTCGAAATTAATTAAAGTAAAACACAGTTAAAACTAAAAGTAAAATTTAGCTACTTTTAATGGTCTATGTGTTAACAATCTAAGTTGATTTATTTTAACAATTGACAGTTTTTCAAGATGATTTTTCAAATTGCTCTTGACCATGTGATCTATTAGTTGAATTGTTTTTGCAATGTGTATGAGCTGTACCTTGTTAAGAAGCCATTACATCTGGTAAACGTTTCTCTTTAGGCACCAGTTTTATTTGCAGTGGCGAAACACACTCAAATATTTGGGTGATGGACTCATTTACTCTTTTTCCTGAGATGAAAAAAAAATCTTTGCTGTTTCTTTAGTAACATTGCAAGACTGGCATATTAAAAGTAGTGGTGGTATTTTTTCATCTTCTTTAAAATTTTTTTAATAGATTGAGTGATACTGAAAATTTCTATTGAATGCACATTTCTGTCTTTCAACTGTATCTTTATGCTCCTTTTCTGATCTTGTAAATTCTAGGTCCACATAATCATTCCGCTGTGGAAAAGATTCCATTGACAAAAGTGGGTCGATGTATTTACAGAGTGAGACATGAGGAATCGGGTGTTGAAAGGGCCATTGTCTGCCAAATAGATACTGTTGAAGGAAGCAAGATGATAACTATACGTTCTCCTATTCAGGTTGTTATATTTGCATACATCATAATTTCATTACTATTTTAATTTTTTTTACTGAATGAAAATGATCCTGTAGTCTTAAAATAATCACTTTAAAACCTATATTTTAGAAACTTACCTGAACAATTCATAGAACTTTTCTGTTGTGTATTATAAAGTAGTTTAGAAGAGATTTTCAAGAATAAAAAGCTTTTTCAAAGTGACAAAGACAGGGGGTTTAGTGGGGGTGGAAATGGACCAGATTGTAGATCAGGATAACTCATCAGTAATGTTTTCTAATACTAGCTCTAATTTCAGTCTTGTTGAACTATTTATTTTCTGTAAAGTCATCAAAGCCCTCTTAACCTTACCTTGGTTCCACAAGGTTATCCTTCTATCGGATTATTTCTTTTTGTTCATCCTGTACCATTGATACATGAATTTCAAATTTAGTACCAAGTCAACTGAAGAGTGAGCTCTTTAAGCATGTATCTTTTTTGATTGAATAATATCTTTGATAGCCATTATAATTTACAAGTACAGGGATGGTCCAGATATTAGACTTCTATAGCGATAGTGTCCCTGTTACATTTCACTTGCTGTTTTTGCGCAGAGTGGTTTATGATTTGGTTAATAACCAGATCTACTGTTCTATTGTTCCATAAATGAAATTTTAATTTTTTCTTCTGAAGCTAATAACACTGTTAAATTAACGCTGAAATAAAAAAAATAATGTTTACAAAGAACAAGAGAATTATGTAACCCTCAAATTATAATGGGTGTTGATGCTTTAACCTTAAATAAATATTTGACATCCCTTGTGTTTTCTGCCATATGGATTTTTCACCCATACACCCTTGCATCTGTTACATTTTTAGTGGAAAGTTCTTTAGAAAGTTACATAGTTCAGATTTACTTGTCTTTGGTTTTACAGGGCTTTATGTTTCTTCTTGAAAAGAATTTTACAGCTAATGTATTAATTTAATAATTAAAATACAGCATTAAACTGCACAACGAAATCATTTAATGAGGTTGACTGGTATTAGAGACAGTTCTTTTGAAATACCTGACCTTGAATGGTAGAGGGGTCAGATGAACAATGAGACAGTTCTCGTTCTGTGCTCTGTTAGGCTCAAAACAGTTTATCTTTCCAGTTGTTCCTAATGTATGTTGCTGGATTTTTATTTCACATAGATAAGGAATCATTTTTCAATCCCGTTAAATATTTTTGAGGAAGGAAGATGTTTAGGGACTGCTTCACCAGAAAATGAATTCAACATACCGTTGTCCTCTTACAGGTACTTTATTGCATTGTTCTTTTATCATGGAATATGTTTATACATTGTTGATTATTGTACCCATACAATTATGCTAAAAAAAAAAAATTGCTTCCCTTTGCTACCTAATACTGTAATTAATAGTGTACTATCATGATTGGGTAGCATCTTCTCAGAGCATTTAGTCTGAGTTAAACAGAATACTATTTAATTCTTCAATTGGAAGTCTTTTGAAATCCATTTTACCAATCAACTTGAAGTAGCTAAGTTACTTTAAGAATCTGAGCCCAGGTGTTTTTCTGGAACACAGTGATTGTTATCCACACAGTACAGACTTTTTTTCCTTAGTGGAGTGATGTCTAGTCGTGTATTACAGCTTTTTTTAAGTCATCTGATTTTTGGGATTCTGAAGTAAAAAATTGAAACTAACACACTTAAACTCTATCACGGATGTAGAAAAAGACTTGTGAACCTTAGAAAGACTTGATTTCCAGCATAGCTATACTATCAACACCTTCAAGCTAATACCCACGTAAAACTGCAGTGAGTTTGTATGTACAATTTAGCTGAACTGTCACAAACTTTTAGGCAGATAAGTTTGGTTTGATTGGTTTTTATGACTACAGAGGCTTTTTTCTTCTGTTTTTCCCAAACAGTCTCCCCATTTTTTTAAGATGACAGCTGTGTATCTTTTTCATTAAATAAGTTACAGTTTACTGTAGATAATGTATGTTCATTAGTATTTCTGACTATCTGTATTTTATTTAATAAGGTTTAGTGACATTCTGATTCATTGCACAAATGTATGGGTGAGTTCCACTAGGCAGTCAGAAGTGTTTACTAACAAAAATCTTTAGTCAAGGAGCAGCTGATTGGATTAAAGCAGTTGCTGTACAAAAGCTATGTGTGTAAATAATCCATAAACGTGATGCTTTATGTGACTAGAAGGAAGGGCACTTTCTGCAGATTTGTCAAGGAGTGAATTGTTTATCCAGACTTTTTGCTTGGAGCAGGAATATAGCAGCACTTGTAAGGGAATTCAGTAGCCTCTTCATAAAGGTCTCCAACAGTCCCTTCTTTGCAAGGGAACTATGTGGAACTATGGAACAAAAAAATCCCAAATGGTAGAATTCCATGAACTTTTGGGATCCAGACCACCTTTTGCTTTCTCCTTTAAGCAAGATAAAGGCAGGCAAGGAATTACTGGCAGAAATCTTCCAAAATCCAAATAATACTAGAATGTTAGTGTTGCATAGTACTTTTTCATAAGTGAAAAATTCAGTCTCATACTGAGTGTTTAAAAAAAAAACCAAACGTTTTAATTTACAGATCTGTACTGAGTTTACAACCACTACCCAATGAAAATGGAGTGGATGGAGAATATGATATGTGTGAAGGAATTACATTTGATGAAATTATGAAAAATGTTGACAGTTTACTACAAAGGAAATGCCAGTCTGTGAGGTCGACTAACCACTCACTTATCATCAATATTGTGTCTATAAAAGACACATTGACATCTTCATTGTTGACGTCTTCATTATGTGCAGAAGATCACTGGGATTTTCCATATGTTGTTCATTTATGGCCTTCTGTTCTTCTCCGCAATCTTCTTCCTTATCAAATAACTTACTCTGTAGAGGTAATTCTTTAATGTTTTTAAATTTTCTGTGATGTTTGCCACCTATGATATGAAAGCTGACCAGCTGGTTGAAATATGTTTATAAATAGATATTAAAAGAAAGGGCTTCTGTTAGAGTATTTGTAAAGCAGGTTTATGGATCTTGTCAGGGCAAGTCTGTATCTACAGAAATGAAACAGTACCAGAACGTGAAAAGTGGTGGTATTAATCATTAGTAGTAAGTCATACTTTAGATATGTATGCAAAGTAGAACTTACACTGTACAAGTTTAGCCCTGTGAGAGAGTCACTTTCTGTTGCTCAAGTGCAACTTGAGCCTAAATAAACAGTGTAGTTTTTCCTGTGAATTATGACTGCTTCAAGTGACGTTAGTGGGTCAGCCTACAGTAGCGTTTTATGTGCTGTCACTGACTTCTAGCAGTAGCATACTTTTTATGAATTTTCACGGGCCTGCCTGTTTGCCAGGTTTTGGCTTGAATTGCAGACTAGTGCCAGACTTTATATTCTTTTCAGATGAAATTAAACAATTAGGTGCACTTTGACTGTTAATAGGCATTCATTCAAGGGCCAGATCAGAGCCAGTCTCAAGTAAAACATCTAAACATGCACAGTGTGGACATTGGCTCCTCAGCACTAAATGTTTTATTTTGTGGATCTGCTATGGCTGTGTCCCACTGCTTACTGTTGTAGACTTAGAATAATAGAAATAAAGATGGGAGACACTGAAACATTTTTTGCAGATGGTCTTAATTTTTAATATTTGGACTCAAATTGTAGAATTTAATTACAAAATATTGTTGCAAATGCACAATTACTAGAGCTAAAGACTGTATCCTCTACCAAATGTATTGAAATAACAGGCTCTTTTCTCTGTCTTACAAATTTAAACTTAGTGACAGAAATACTGAGTTCAGGAAATCTGTCATTTAAGCATGTTTGTGTATTTGAATTTGGTGGCAGATTTTTTTTGTGTGTGTTAAATATTGATGACCATGCATAGGGTTTTTTTTCTGTAAAATGTTGTATTAAGGTAGTCATTTAAGAATGTAACATAGTTAAATAGTATAATAAGCATTTCAAAAATTGCCTAAATAACTTGTATCTTAATTTTCAAAACTAGCTAGAAAATAAAAGTTGGTACGAATTTTGAGTGTGACTCATGTGAATGTACACTGTTTTTTTAAAGGGAAATGGGAACAAATATGACACTCTACAAGAAGGATGTTCAGCCCAGATTCATAATGCAGTATTGGATCAAACAAAACTAGATTTACAGTTACTTAACTATCTTGATCAAAATTGGAAGAGTGAGTACCATATAAAAAGCAATCTACCTGATATCAGCTTCACGACGTTTTACTGCATCACAGAGTTGGATAAGACTGAACTGGACATTGCTGTCCATGTGACCTATACAACTGGGCAGATGATTGTAGCAATTCACAGTCCGTACTGGATGGTAAATAAAACTGGTCGAATGTTGCAATACAAAGCTGATGGTATTCACCGCAAGCATCCTCCAGATTACAAAAAGCCACTGCTTTTTTCTTTCCAGCCCAAAAACTTCCTCCAAAATAACAAGGTAGTATATTTTGTAAAACCTGACAGCTCTATACTCCGCAATGTTGTTGTATGAAAGCATTTTTACATTTGAAAGTTATCTACACTGTGCTGTGCTCTGTAAAGGGCATGAAACCTACAGTATCTTTGTCTAAAGACAGTATTTTAAATAAATATGTTGTCAAATCTGCTTGAGATGGGAAATTTACATTATCAAAGGTATTGTTAGGAAAGAGATTCTCATCTTTGAGAGGAATAAAATTCACTGAGAAGTATTTCCTAAATAAAAGAATTTCTTTATTGATGCAGTTTAAATGGAATAAAAGGTCCTTATTCCAAATAAGATGTAGAAGTTGTGTAAGAAATGTAGAGCTGTGGTACTTGAAAAATGAATGCTACCTGAAAAATGAATGTTTGCAGTGGTGGTTGGTAGATTGGGTCTGAGTTGCTAGTAAGCTAAGGTTAAGATGCAGTTTACCACCTGAGTCTATGTGAGTTTTTAATGCTGAGTATTACTGACGGATGAATAATAGTAGAGGGATTACAAGACTGTGATTTACCTTGAGATTTTAGTTGTAATAAGTTTTGGAAAGGAACCTTATGTGATTGCTTCCTCTGGATTATCTTACATTTATAATGCTTATTTCACATAGCTTAAAATTAAGGGTGGTAGAATATATCTTTGTGAGACGATACTGGCAATTGTTACGCCTTGAATTTTTAATAGAAGCACCAATATTTCCCGTACACACTTATGTTTATATATATATGCATACTTTAGATATGATTTTAAATGTTGTCAGTGTCTATAAATTAAAAATTAATTTATGGTGCTTCTTCATAGGTGCAACTTATGGTAACTGACAGTGAACTATCTGATCAGTTTTCACTGGACACTGTTGGAAGTCATGGTTCTGTGAAATGCAAGAGTCATAAAAAGGAATATCAAGTAAGTTATATTTCAAATTCATTACTTTCAGGAGATATAAATGAGGTAAGAAAAGAACAGTGTACTTCTAACAATGTCTTTCTATTCGCAGGTTGGTGTCACCATAAACAACAGCAGTTTTAATATTACTAGAATTGTAACTTTCACTCCATTTTTTATGATCTCAAATAGAAGCAAATACACTTTGGAGGTAGCTGAAGAAGGCAAGGAAAAGTGGATTCCTATTGTTTTGCAACAGGTAAACTTAAAAAGGAAGCTATTCCAAGTTGTTTCTCTAAGGGAAAAAAAAGAAATTGGTTTGAACACTCACTGATGGAAAATGAGCCATGCATAGTATTCTGTGGCAATGTCTGAATATATCTTGCTTTTTCAAGAAATTATCTGTGTCCTGTTACCTTTTCTTATTGTTGGTTTAGGACATACTGTAAAGCTGGTTTACGTTGTAATTGGAATGTTTTCTCTGTTACGGGCAGCATAAATAGTATGAGAAAAAGACCTGTACCCTTACAGTAAATTATCTCTCTCTTCAGTGGCACTGAAACTTCTGTTCAGTTTTTGCAGTGATATCTGATAGTGGTTTGACTGACCTGGTACTTGTCATGCCACTTTCATATAGGAAGAAAATCCGTCACAGGGATCAGTTCAGATGGCTCCAAAGTGTTCGTCTGGGACTAGTTACACTGTTGTTTTTTTACTGCTTAATGTGTCATTTCTAGAGAGGGACCGCTGGCCCCCAGGCCAAGTGGTGTGGAAATGGCTTTTGGGTTTTTTGTCTATGCTGCAGAGGTCTAGACTGTTGCACACTGGGCATGCAGGTTGGCTGTTTGCACTGCGGTACCCAACACTTAACGTCTTGTATGCGTGTTGAGTTTTGAGGAAAAGCAGCATCTGTTTCGGGTAGTGTTGGAAGTCTATGAATGCTGAGAGTGATCCATACTGCCTTCTGGGAAGAGTGAGGTCTCCCTCCTTCCCTTCCAATGAGTCTTGAAGAGAGCATATCCAAAACAGAGACAGAGTTTAGCCTAACAAATAGTGTGGTTGGAGGCCCTCTTGCTTTTCTTTAGCATTGTAGATACTCCAATGGTTACCAAAAATGCTTGCAAACTAAAATACCAAAGTTAAAAGAATATTTTAAAATTGGATTTGTAACCAGCTCTTTTTGTTACATTTTTGGTACCTTCAAAACATGTTCCTTAAGTGTGCATTTTATCTTTAATGATTATGGAAGAGAAATACCATTTAAATATCATTATTTCAATTTATGAAATTGATACTACTTTGCTTGCTTTTTGTCATTGTTCTGTAGCGATTTTTGTTAAGTGTGCACAATGATGTTTAGATCTTTAGGTGTTTTAAGTCAGTTCAGCTTCCCATAATGTTTATCACTATTTTCAAAAAAGTTTCTTTGCTTTTATCCAAGAGTAGGCTGTTTGCCATAAGCCTACACATTTATTCTATTCCTGATATTCTTATGTTCCTCTAAACCAAACTTTTGTTTGACTCTACATAGGTTTTGGGTTCTTTACATGCAAGATTCCTCATCTACTTTGTTGATAAAGCTCTGAAATGACAAAGGTTCATGTGTAGTGGCATGGGCTACTTCATATCTGACTGCTTACTCTGCGAAAATATAGTCAGATTTTATTAATTCTTGGTGGTTTGTGGTTTATATTTGATATGGAGTTGTTATTAGAATAAAATGAATTATTTTACAGGAACTTTTGAAATTTTCTGCAAAAACTATTCAAAGGTAATAGTTTTGAAAGTTCAAATACATTGCTACGTATATGATCTGTGGTTTTCCTGTGTGGGCTCTTTTATTGATATGCTTACGGAATTTTCTAACTTCTCCCACAAGCATCATTGTTTCTCAGGTGTTTCATAATTGTATTAATTGATCTTGGTCTCCTTTCAGTTATCAAGTATCAAAGGAGGACTTTGTTGATTTTAGGATCATTCCTACTATCTTTTGAAAGAATAGATGTGGCAGTTTGTCAAATGGAGTAGTAGAGGTCAACAGAGGAATCTGTATCCCCTCCTAAATTATTCCAAACTTCACTCCCAAAATTGCTTGCCTTTCCACATTGTGTCGATATTTTCCCTTCTGATAAGCACTCTCTAAAAATCTGTGTTGTGACAGTTAACTCTGCCAAGGTTGTTCATTTGTAACCCAGTTGCTCAATCCAGTATGCTTGTAATCTCTTGTAACTAGGTAGAGTCCAGCCACTATTGGTCTGTCTTTGGGCATCCAGGACAGATTTTCAGGAACAAGTTCCCATCTGATCTTGTTCTTGAGATATGGAACTCTGCTATCCAGCTGACCTAGTCTTTTTTTTTTTTAATGAATGCTTGTTATTTTTTTTTTAGTACTTCTCACTTTATGCTTTTGTATTAGGTTGATCTACAAAAGACCAACAAGCTTGTAGAAATGTTAATTCGTATCTCAGCTTGCTCCGCTCTCCCCCCCATTCTATTTTTGTCATTTTAAGTTAAGCAGAATCCTTCCTGCTGCTTTTCTTTTTTTTATCCACTCTTCTTTCTTAGTGACAGATAGCCTGTCTTCTCAGGCAAAAAGCAATCCTTGTGTAGAACCCATCTCCTCTTGGACATGTTCCCTGTCTGGAAAGCAATCAATCTATCAGAAAGTTTTAATTACTATTTTTAGAAAAATCCGTTGTTCTTCAAAGGTTGTAATGGAAGTTGTTGGACAATGATTAGTGTGAAATGGCTTGCCAAAGACAGTCCTTTGAATTAGGTATAGCACAAAACAGTTGACCAACATGCATCCTTAGAGAAAGAAAGAAAGAAAACATTGCTGAAGGCTGTACATGAGACCACTGCTAAATATAAATTAAAGAACCTATTATGGAATGGAGATTGTTGTATAAATATGATATCTAGTGAAGCACTTAGCAAGTGCATGTCAAAACATTTGGAAACAGCATCACTTTGTGACACATCGTGTGGCTAAAGACTATTGCAAAAATTTATTTTTTGGGTCTCTGTGGTTGATTCTGTAACTTTTTGTTTAACCAATCCTTTTTACTTATTTTAGTTTTGATTTTAAACTTTCATTTACTGTTGACTGATTCTCCTTGATTTTCCTTTGAGCTCCCTTGATTTCCATGTTGAGATTTACTTGCTGTGTTTATGCTAGTTTACAACACAATTCAGATTTCCTTTGTCTGTAGGGGAGATGTTGATGTAAATAATACCTTCGGTCTTGCTGTTTAACTATATTTTTTTCCTTTGTCTTCCTGCTTCCTGTGGTGTGAGAAACAATGGGAAAGGGAACTTAGTGGCATGGTAAGTTGGTGAGCTAGTCTTTCACCATTGAAGATTTAATTCTAGGACTCAGATGCAATTCAATATAAATATCTCATTTCTTAACCTGTGTCAGAGAAAGATGCTCCTGAAGTTTTGAATGTTGCAGGTGAACAATTTGAAATACAGGAAAGCTGGGCTGTCTAGACAGGCTTTGACTCTTGTTGGTTGAAAGTTACTGTTAATCATCGCTTGTTCCTGTGGCAGGACTCTTTTAATCAGTTGGAAACTCTTCGTTAGTTACAATTAAAACTTTTTGTCTTCCCTGCCTCTTTGTCTTATCCATTTGGTGTGTAAACTATTGAAGAGAGATTGTCTGTGGGATTTTTAAACCCAGAATTGCTGTGATTTCAATTGTGAATGTGAATAACAGAACATGCTCTCTGATTCAGCTGCCTAATGCTTCATATTTTATTTATGTATGTTTTATACCCACATATATATGTATGTGTATACATGTGTGTATATGTATTTTTTATATATATATGAAAAAAATGTTTCTGAAGAGCAGCTAGTATACTGATGTCTTGTGTACTCAAGTTACTATGGGGTGTTTATGCCAATATCCCTTTTTGTCATTGATAGTCACAATAAGATTGATTTGTAATTTGTACTTATTTGGCAAGGGATCTGTTACTGGAAGGCCATTTTGGTGTTGTAGCCATGCTCAGCTTTATGCTCTGGATTTTGTATACGTTATCCATTTTAAATCTACATCTTTGTATGAATGTGAAGTCTTACTTTTTTCACTTTTAGCTCCTTAACTCCACGGTTTCTTCACTATAGTCTGAATTATTTCTGACTTCCTTTCAATTTATTGTGTTCAGGTAAGTAATTACTTTAATTTTTTTTTTATAGAGTTTCTGATCCAACTCACTACACTTTTGGATAGAATTTTAGTAGGTGTACTTTGGGCTAAAATTGATGGCATTTAACATCTAGTTTGTTTTCCTACTTGCTTTAAAATACCTGATTTTTTTCTCTAGTGCATTCCCTTTTGGCCTGAAAATGATGCCAACAAACTGCTTGTTAGAGTTGAAAATTCTGATCTTCCCCCAAAGAAGATAAATTTTGATAAGCAAGAAAACTGTCTGCTACTGCATTTGGACAACAAGGTAAATGATAGCCTTTGGAAATTAGGTATAACAACATAAATAACTGTTTCATTTCCATTCTCAAACCTTTCTGTCTTCCCATACAATCAAATATTGCAAAACCATAGCTGGGGGAAAGATGATATATATGCAAGTGTATTACTCTCATTCTGGTGCTTTCTTTTTCCTGTGTGTGTACACACAGATACAAGTAGGTGTTTCGTTTTCAGCGCTTCTCTGTGAAGCCCATCTATAGAAGGAGAAACAGAGATTGCTTTGCTAGTGTTCTCTAGCTGAGGCTGAGAAGTATTTACATTAGTTCTAAAGTAACATGAAGTTACTTCGAAAAGTAACTTCAGCTCCACTAAGTTTACTTCTATGGTGCATATAGTCTCATCTAGCAGTAGTTTTTAAATGTATGAGTGTTTTTAATAGTAGAATGTTTTGGAGGGCATTAATGTGTATGAATGGTTCAAGAAAGATTCTTCTACTACCAGCCTAAATTTTCGACAGTACTGAACTCCTCCATAGTTTTGATTACTAAGTGCAGTGCCTGTTACCTTGTAGTTAGATCAGGGAAATATTTTAAAGATAAGTTAAAACAAGTTACTTATTTGACGATTTGGTGGTTTTATCTTGACAGTAACAGTTTTCAAAAATTTTTACATTACATTTGCTTTATGCAAAATTCATTCTACTGTTACTTACTTTATAATTTTTACATCTGATAGCTTGGAGGAATTACAGTGGATGTTAACCTGACTGAACATTCTACAGTGATTACCTTTTCTAATTACCATGATGGCGCAGCTCCATTTCTGTTGATAAACCATACTAAAGAGGAAATTATTGAGTATGGACAAAGGTATGTAAGAAGAGGTTTAGTGTGGATGTCTACATGACGACATGTGAACTGTTACTTCATGTATTGTAAGCATGCCTATTTCTTAAAAAGCCTGTTTTTTAAGAAATGGCTGCCTGATTTTGGCAGAGCACCCAAAATTCTCTTGTTTTATAAACTGAGGAGAGTGAGTTGTTAACAAAGCAGTGTTGTGTAGTGCTAGGTGCCTGCTTCTACAAGTAAAAAAAGCTGTCTTCTGAGCTAAAGAAGCTCTCTGATCTCTTTTTATATGAATTTTGTGGCCTTGTCCTCTACATTCCTTTACATTCCTGGTGGGGGCAAAGGATGTGTTTGGCTTTTCTGGAACTGTGCGGGTGCTGAATGTGCAAAATAAGTAAATGTAATTAGCTTTGAGACTTCTACTGTTCTGTCGTATTGAGTTGAGATCTAGCTGAAAGAATGGGTTAAAAAGTTATGGGAGGGATGAGGGAATGGACTGAAAAATGGGTGGGTAGTTACATAAATTTTGTCAAGCCAGACCAAAACTAAGATTGTTTTGACAGATATGAATTCTCTGCAATCAGTGAAAATTTGGTTCTGCACATGCATGCAGCTATACTGGTTCTGTTCTCAAGCTGGAATGACTTTGTAGTGCTTTGCTGCTGTATGCAGATACTGTGCAGTGCTAAGAAGCGTAAGCATATCTACAGCATCCCTGACCTGTTTCTTTTTAAAAGCCGGACAGCCTCTGCCATTTTTGACTTTCAGTTGGACAGAGCAGTGTTGTTCAAAGATTTTTATTTGAAAAGTGGAGGAGCTGCTAGTCAAATTAAGCTTGCAGCTGTATATTCTTGTTTGAAGAATACAGCTAATTGTTTGCTTTGGTTTTTATCTGTAATAATTGCTAATGAGGTGGCTTTTGGGCATCCCTAGTGTAAATTTAACAAGTATATACGTAACTTTTATCATGAACTATGGAGAACAGAATAGAGTATTTCAGTTGGAAGGGATCTGCAATGGTCATCTAGTCCAACTGCTCGACCAATTCAAGGCTGACCAAAAGTTAAAGTTTGTTGTTAAGGGCATTGTCCAAATGCCTTTTAAAGACTGACTGGCTCGGGGCATTGACCACCTCTCTAGGAAGCCTGTTCCAGTGTTTGACCACTGTCTTGGTAAAGAAATGCTTCCTAAAGGCTAGTCTAAACCTCCCTGGGGCAGCTTTGAACCATTCCCCCATGTCCTGTTACTGGATCGGGCGAGAAAGATCAGCACCTCCCTCTCCACTTCCCCTCCTGGGGTGGGCTACTTTCAGAGAGCTGTGGAAGATAAGTCTCCCAGTTTTTAACTATATGTGAAGGGGAATGGAGTTTAAAAATCTGTTTGAAAATATCCGCTGTATCCAGATACTAAACACCACACTTTTTTCCCCTCCAGCAAATCATATAGGGGAAACCTTTCCTAAATGACGTATTTTGAACTCACTTTTATTCTCTTGGAGTACTAATGTTAGGCAGCACAAATACTGAATTTTCCTTTTAGCTTGTAAGCTCCACTGTCTGTTTTTTTTCTCTACTTAAGGTTTCCCTGCTAATCACAAGTAGAGAAGAAACTAAGTGTTTAAAATCTACTGTGTGTACTTTATTTCTAAAGTATACACATGTATTTTGAAGAGAAAATACTGTTTTTATTATTGTGATGAGAATGATTTTGTGCATGTTTTTTCATGCACAATATTCCTTTAATTTTCATTATTTGAAAAAATAATTGAAGTGTTCTTGTCGAAATGGTAGAATGCAGAAGTCATTGATGCAGAATATTCATTGACATTTTAATTTAATTTGTTCTAGCTCCCTCAGTGAATTGGAAGACTGTCTTCAGCCAAATAAGGCAGTACTATATACTTGGGCAGACCCAGCAGGATCTAGAAAATTGAAATGGAAATGTGGAAATAGAACTGAGGAAATTACCCCAAAAGAGGTACATTTGTTATCTAAATGTCTTTTTAATGCTGTCTAATTTATTATCCTTTTCATCAGTGTACGTATGGAATTCCATATGTAATGAGTATGATCAGTAATCTCATATATGAGGTTCAATCATGTAACAGTAACCACACTGTGTTTGCTGGAGCTTGGGCCAATAAGCATTGTCTTCAGTTCAAAAGCATGTGCATGTGTGAGAGAGACTGCTGTAAAACTTCATAATTATAATTTTTATTATTTTCCTATACCTTTAAAAATATCTTCTATTGTTCATATTGCTAAGACTTCTACATTTGCTTGTGGAGTAGAATGATGAATAGACTTGTAAAAATTTTTCCTCTCTTCTTTGTAGGACAAAATGGAAATACTCAGCCTGGATTGTAGAAAAGTGGTCTATTTAGTGTCATTTTTTGAAGGTTTGCAGCGTATTGTCCTGATCACTGAAGATGAGAATGTATTTAAATTGACGTATGAAAGTGTAAAAGCAGAACTAGCAGAACAAGAAATTATTCTGTCTTTGCAAGACGTTGGAATTTCGTTGGTTAATAACTACACAAAGCAAGAAGTGTCCTACATTGGAATTACAAGGTAACTTATTTTGTGTGCAACAGTCTAAAATGTTTAACTTCAGGTATTTCCACTTGCTGAATTGCATGTTGGGGTGCAATGGAAGAGGAAAGAGAGGTCTGGGTAACAGTATTTAGAATTAAATCATTATGTTTTCCTGTTAGAAATGCTTTCACTGTGTTTTGTATTAATGCATATGCTTTCTGTATTTGGATGTATGTGTTTTTACAATGCATAATTGTAACTGTGTGGCAAACTTCCCGATACATTGAACAGAAGTATTTCCTGTCCATGTAGTTTGGGGAGTGATAAGAGTTTTAAGGAGTAAGGTCTGTGGGTAGTTTGTATCAGTGGATTTTTCTGCCTTCATTACAGAAACAAGTTGCTGAATTCTGTGTTGAAAATGTTAATACAATAGCAGCTTGTAGTTCTTTTTAGTTTTGGTTGAGAAATTATGGCGACTCCAAGGCTCTAATAGTTTAGGTTTTTTACTGTAACATTTCAGTGGGAAACAAAAAAGAAACTATATGTAATGCCTAAGAAATGTGTGCTATCAGATATCCAAACAGCGGCTTTTTAGAATGCTCAAGGGGCGCATGTATATCATTGCCATAATCCACACGCTTCTGTATATTCATAGCATGAGGGTGCTAGCGTGAGGGTTTTTTCTCTTGATTAATTCTCTGCAGCATACCGCAAAACAAACAAGCAAAAGCTTCATGTACACGTGTACTTCACGTATTCATATCTGTCGTTCACAAGGAAAATTCCAGTCTTTGCCCTCACCTTAGAAACTGAGCCCTGATAACTATCTAGACAGTAGAAATATTCCATTAAAAGTGGCAGCTAATTGCCTAGATTCAAAGTAGTGTTGAGATTTCACTGAATTAGTGTTTTTTTGGAAGCAGTCATCCATAGTTAGTAGTCCAGCAGTGCTTATAGTTGGTATTATTGTTAAACCCGGAGTGGATGTCAAACTCCTGAAAGCTCTTTCTGAGGATAAGAGATTATTCCTTGAGTACAGTGAAGAAAACCTTATTATTCAGAATGTTCCCATTTGTGAATGTCTCACTATAAAAAGAACAGAAGAGGCAGTTTGTATCTCACTTGATGCAGAAACAAGTTTCACCATTCCAGTTCTGGGATCAAGCATGTTTAGGAGGGTGGATGAAAAAAAGAAAAAGAGGAAAAAATTTCAAGGTAGTACTGTATTTTGTAGCTGTTGGTTTGCCCTTTAGCTCACTTTTTTTTGGTGGTTCTGCCACTGATGTATCTGAACACACACACAGATGTAGCTAAAAGGGATTGGATTAGAGGGCTGTGTCTGGAAAGCTGTGTATTTGTGGGCTATAGTGTAACTTGTGGAAAGAAGAAATACCCTCCACCTGTCTGATAGTTTGAGTTGTGCCCTATTGTGTGCCTTTGGTTGGACTGTAAGATAAAATCAGACATGAGAACTTCTCACAGAAGCAGTGGAATTAAGCAGAAAAGAGTCCAGTGCCCTTTAAGAATGATTAATTATTTCATTGTTTTATTAATAATAAAAGTAAGAGACAAAAGAAAAGAACTGATTTTGAGATACCATTTAAACAAACAAACAAACAAAAACCAAACAAGAAAACAAACAAAACCAAAAATCCCCACCATAAAATCAATGGAGGAAATATGTAAACCAAAATCACTGTCTATTGATTTAGACAGAAAGAGTGAAGAAGCTAGCTTTCAAAAATAAGAGACAGTTCAGGAGGCATTTCATAGTGACTTAAGTTCTCAATTTCTAGTAAATTCAGCTATGCCAAAATACATGCAGGAGTATATGCAGAAAATTACATTGAGATTGCAGAATAAAAGATCGCAGTACTGTTGAAACTGAGCTTCCTGATTAAGTATCTTTACATACCCATCTTCATCAAAGTGAGGAGTTATACATACTTGCTGTTAACTTTCCTTTTTTGCATTGTATGGGAGAGACTGACTTCCACCTAGTACCAAGAAGACAGTGGGTGATTTGGGTCACTTTTATTTACTACAGTAGTGCTTTATGATGTGGTTTCTCATTCCGTAGTTATAACCTATGAAAAACCATACTATGGTAGGCAAAACTTGTTCTGAAATAGCTAATCCTTCTCTCTTGGTCCTTTGTTTTGTTTTCAAAGTTCTGATGTGGTTTGGGAGACAAAACCCAAGAAGAAATCAAGATGGAGACCAATGAGTGTTAAGCAGACTGATAAATTAGAACAAGAATTCAGAGATTACAGTGAGCTAACTCCTTCAGAAAATAAGATTATTGAGTTGGAATCAAATGTTTTGGTAATACTGGTAGTTCTCTAATTCTCTTGTTTATATGTATACACAGGAAAAAGATGATGTATCAATTTTGCTATCTTTGAAGAAACTTCCAGTGAAAATTGAGACTATTTGATTTACCTAATCCATTTGTAAACACTTCTTTATCTCTGTCTAGAGAAAAGAATCTTTGGAAAAGTCCATAAATGTTTGAAAGCTTGCTGTAGAACTTTTTGTTGTTGGCCTCTGACTTTGAAATTGAAGTGTAATATTTTTGCAGGTCATGGGACTAAATATGTATAAAGCCACAGTAAATAAGCTTTGAATTTGGTTCATTTGTTATACTGGGGAGGCGGGCAGGATGTTAGTCTGCAGTTTGTTTGTTTCAGTGCAAAATCTTGTCAAATATCCCTTATTGTGGGATAATTCAGCTGTGTCACTCAACCCCATACATATGAAAAAATCATTCCAGAAATTATTCAGGAATGTAGAAGCACATTATCCTCCAAATGCTGCTGTCCTTGTGTGTAGACAAATTCTAAATACTCATTAGAATTGTATTGTAGGTAAATGAACATGGTATAGGTAAATAAGCAAATTTTTATCTCAGTCTCAGTTATGTTATACTACTCTGCCCTTCTTCTAGAAAGCCATGTGTTAAATGCTAGTAATCCCCCAAATAATGCAATATTTTGTAGTTTTACTTATATTGACATTTATGACAAAATTTGATTGTTTTAAATAAAGTTACGACATCTAACTTAAAAGCTGCAAAACTTTCAACTGCTAAGCTATCTTTACAATATTAATGAACAGTGTAAATTTTAAAATACATTATAAAAAGCAGTCTTTTGAAACAGCATATCAAATTTTCTTTAATAATACAATAGGTATGTTTAACTCCTAATGGAATGAACATGAAAATTCATCAACCAAATGAGATTCCTATTAGAAGGAATTACCTGCCAGCTTTAAAAGTAGAATACAGTTCATCTGCACATCAGAAGTCTTTCAGAATTCAAATTTACAGGATACAGGTAAGTCTTACCAAAAAACAGTGAGTTATTAAGACAAAGCAAATATTAAGGAAAATTTGATTTATTTTTAGAATTGTTTGGATTTGTCATGTTTTGAATTTAATTGTACTTACTGGCTTTTACATCAGTGCTTCTCAATCTTTGGAAATACTACTTAAATGCTTCTGGAAAAAAACCCTAGACAACTATGACTGTTCAGGAAAAACATTTACCAGTCACCTTCTATGCTTTTTCTTGTGTTTTTTCTTTAAAACCAACAAAAATAAAAAAGATACAATTTGTTGTCTTGCATATGTTCAAGTTTTTAAAAACAAATCCTTTGCAAAAACTCTGTGGACCATTTATTACCACCAACTTAGAGAAACTTTTCTAGACTATGTAGGTTAGGTGATTTTGTTTTGAACATAGAGATATTTTGAACCACAATAGCGGCTTTTTTTTCTGCTTTTGAATTGGTGGAATGATACAGGTAGTGTTCGGAATTCTTGTGTTTGTCGTGATTTTAAAATATTTCGCTATTGAAAAGCTAATGTGCTGCACCTTGTCCTGTCCTTACCCCTATTAGATACAAAACCAGATTCCTGGAGCCATATTTCCCTTTGTGTTCTATCCTATTAAACCTCCAAAGTCCATCACCTTGGATTCAGGTTTGTTGTTCTAGTTTAAAGTAATCCTTATTTCTGAAATGGCAGGATGACTTGCTTGTAGTGAAGTTAACTATGTCAGTTTTATCAGATGAAGTCTGTATAAGCTTACTGACTACAGATAACACAAATACTAACGTTAGAGACAGGGAAGCAGTTTTCTCTACAAAGAAGATACACAGAAAACCATTTAAGCAGTTAACAGAAGAAAACGAAATTTCTTCATCCATCAATAATCATAACTTTTAAGCACACCTTTTTGACTTTTAAGCGCACCTTTTGATTCAGCTCTCTTGGAGAGCGTAATGTGAAAGTTATATTTGGATCAAGCTTAAAATGGGCTTTTGGCAGTTGCATTCAGACCGCAACTAAAACTTAATCCTGACTTATACAGGAGAAGAGTTGCCTGCTGAAAATGAGAAAGGATCAAATTGTTGCTTGTCTTGATGGTAGTGAATCTGTTGCGCCATTTCTGTATTACTTGCATTTGGAGTTCAGGGCAGTGAGGATTCACTTTTCATCTTCAGTCATCTGATTTTTCTCTACTGCCCCAAATAAATTGTTTATCATAATCATGTGGGTTTTGGGGTTTTTTTTGCTTGCATACAATAGATGACCTAGTGACCTATCTGAAGTAACTAATAAGAAAAGAAATGCGTATGACTCTAAACTCAAAATTGCTATGTGAGGCACCATTTATAATGGCAAATTATATTTTGCCTGTTTTGTCCGTAGCCTTCTGACTGCTCCATTGCTTGGGGCATAGAGCTCAATGCAGTATCCTATGTGATGAGCTGCAGTCTTCCATTAACTTGTTCAGGGCAAAGTGGCTTGGAAGACCAGAGTAATCTCAGGAGGGATTCTGGATTGAGATAAAGAATACTGCTTGTAATTTTGTTCAGAAGCTGGTAAGATGTCAGGTGTTCATTCTAAATATGATCAATTTCAAGCTACAGTGCATAAATCTGCGGAACTCTTTTTTCGTTGTTGTTTAGTTTGTATTTTTGTATCAGCCGTTGGAAAATCTTATTCCATGACTAGGGAAATTACATAAGACTAAGACTATATCAATATTAATTTGCTTTTAAATGAAAATGGTACATTTTCAGAGATCAGTGAAATAGAATTTTGATGTTCCATTTCATCCTTGTTTTCCTGTTCCTTTCTGTTCCTGCTCATTTCCCTGACTTAGTTGTTTGTCAGTCATATCCATTATGTAATCCTACTTTACAGGATTGAGAAAATCCTTGAACATATATGACATTTTCATATTAAAAATATAAAGGTACACATACCATATAAAAATCTGTGCTGATCTCTTTTATTTTACCACTTCATAGCACCAAAACCATTTACCGATGTCAGTATTGTCATGAGAACTGCAGGACATTCACAAATATCTCATATTAAGTAAGTATTTTGACATGTTCCATCTCTTCTGCTATTGATTATGTTTAATCAAGCTTTAAAATTAAAATTATTGTGGGGGCAAACATAGTGCAAGATAATTTTACACCAATTCATTCTTGGAAAGATCAGAGCACTTAAATAGAGATGAAAGCTCAACCTCCTTTATTATCCACATAATTGCAGAGTAAAGCAGGGATTTTTAAGAGTCGTCTTATTGCAGATTTTTAGTCTTTTTTAGTTTAGAAAAAACTCTAAGTTTGGCAGTGCTGTGTACAGTGTTAAATGCTGCTACTTGTTTAAAATAGTTCTGGTTACAGGAAATGTGTTTATCTTGCATCAGTATGGGAAGCCTTCTTTCCACTAATGATGGCAAATCCCTCAAAAAAAAGTACCTGAAGTCAATACATAAGTGGCCTAAATACCCTAGATTAAGTTTTACATGTTACATATTTTTGTAAACCACCTTAATAATTGTTTTTTGTTTCATGTGTAGGTATTTTAAGGTCCTGATTCAAGAGATGGATCTCAGATTAGATCTTGGCTTCCTATATGCACTGGTTGAGTTCTTTACACAGACTGATGTGCTGAGTGACCAAGAGGTAGAAACATTTTGTTGTTTAAAGCTTAATAGATTTGAAGTTTGTAATTATTCAACTTGTATTTTAAAAAAGAAAGAACAGCTTGGTCTTCTGTGTCCATAACACTGGTTATTTGCTGTGTCTGGGACTAATATGAAGCTGTGAGGTTGTCTGAGTTACCGTTGCCCAAGGCAAACTGTAAACTCTTTCCTTTATCCTCATTTTGCATGCTATGCAAAGAAGACTTCAAAACCTTCTGAAAAAAAAAAATGAAACCAATGCTCTTGTAGACTCTTTGGCCTTACTAATGCCTGAAGGATCATTTAAGAACCCAAGACAGGAAAGAAGTGAAAATAATACTCTTTTCCTTGATGTAGCAAAAAATGTACAAAAATCTTGACCAGGAAGTCACTGAAACTTGTCTGTCTATGAGAGCAAGAGAATGTAAAAGGAATGAAGAGAGAGGTTGATTAGAAAGTTACATTCTCTTCAATAATTTTGCATAAAACTATAAAATTGGGAGATGATGTAGTTGACATGTTGATACTAAGTGGAGAGGAGAGGGCAGTGGGAGGAAACTGAATTAAGGTCCAGGGAGCATGAAAGGAGTTTGCACATAGGAACAGTAGAAATAAAATACAATTATATGAAGTGCAAGGTAGTCTGCATGGGAAATAATAATGAAAACTTCAGATACAGCCATAAAGCAACAGAGGAGCCAGAGTTTCTTGGATTTGCCAAAGAAAACCAAAAAAGGTGATAAGCTGTATAGATACAATGCAATTATGATGTGTATTGGGCATGTTGTCCTTGTTAAGAGTATTGAAATTTGAATGTCAGTACACAATGAACTGATAATAAATTATGTAGCAGAAAGTGTATCTTTTTTCCTGTATCTCAAAAATGCTGCTAGTGAAAAATAAATCAGAAATATTTACATAGAAGATCTACCTGGATGAGGAGAGCAAAAAGGTCCTTTTTTAATGGGGCATGAGAAGGTATTGTCTTACTGTGGCAAGTAAAAAGTATGCTGGAAAGACAACTTACTTTGCTTTTATTTCCCCATATCTGCACATCAGAGATTAAAGTGGCACCAAAATTTTGGAAAGACTCACAAAATGTATTAATTGCTTATTGACTTAGGAACTCTTGGTGGTAATGTAAATCTTAAATAAAATTTTAGCTAAAAGAGTGGGATCCTCTGTGGTGAGGCACCTTTCTCTAAATCAAGACCTAAGTGTGTATTTCTATATAGTCTTTTCTTACTATATGATAAACTCTTGAAGCAAAACTGAGTGATGTAATATTTTTAAAGTCTGGATGATCCGGTTTTGTTAAACATTGTAAGATTAATTAAACATCTTTAAAAATATAAATAGTAAGAATCAGCAGTCTAATTGTGACTTATGAAATAGAAGGAAATTTGAAGAGTTTCTTAAACAAAGCAGACATTTAATGAATGTTAATAATGTTGCTTTAGAATTGTTTCAGAAATGTTGTTGTATTTTCATATATGGGAATACGTAGTCTAAACTGGTGGTTTTCAGGAGTGTGCGAGGGTGTAGAGTCTGTTACCTGTGTTGATACCAGGTGTACCTGTGAATTCCAGATTATTGGGGTAGTTTGAAGGATTATATTCATTTTCAATGCGTGGTTGTGTAGTGGAAAAATTACATTTTTGTATTTTATTCTCTCTTTCTCCTCCCAGTGGAAAGATGAACGATTTGAGATCAGTATTATGAGCTGAATCACTGAATCCAGAGATTAGAGGAGGCCCTCTTCCGCACTTTCATTTTTAGTGGAATTGCAAGGACTAATTTTAGGATTTGATCTCAATATTTAGTGCCTTGACTATTTTGCTTGTTTAAGTAGCAAGATATAACCTGTATTTACTGTTCTTAAAGGACTTCTCACATAATTTTCAGTTACAACTTCATTTTCTTTGACTGGTTAAGTCTTTTCTGACTAACTTTAGAATTGTTATTATTTAAAAATCTTTAAATGTTTTTTGTACTTGGCCAATTCTTAAAAACTATTGTAAAGGAACTCTTTCTTTTGAAGGAGAAAAGGAAGAGAAAAGGGCTAGATGGAGGTATTCTCAGTATGTAAAAGTGTAGTTTCTGTATAAGACAAAATAGTCTTTAGTCTATTTTTTGTATTTAAATACCTATGGTCTGTATTACGTGTTCAAAAGAGTGTGTGTATATATATATATATATATGCCCTTTGTTTGACCCAGGTAAAAATTGTCCAAACTTTACGTGAAAATATATGGTATTTGAACTTTCATAGAAATAGATTTTTTATTTTTTTTTTACTATTAAATAGATGTATGTTGGATTGTCTTTATTTATAAATATATATATGTTTGCTCCTCTTCATACAAAAAAAGGCAGCAAACAAAATCTAGTTAAACGTCCTCTAAAATGTTCGCTCTTTAAGTAAAAAAATAAGGTTGGAAGAGTATGAGGTGTGTTAGTCAATGCATCTCAGTGACAAATGCATAGTAGTTTTATATACTCTAAATTTTAAAGTAATGGTTTTTTTGAAAATACATTCACAGCTAGAACTTTTCAAAAAGGATGTTGAATCTCTTCAAGAAGAACTGATGAGTGTGTCATCAATGGATACGTCACAAATCAGCTTGTATGAATACTTTCATATCTCTCCAATTAAGGTATACCTTTTTCACAGTACAACCTTGTGATTACTCTCTAACTGAAGAATTTTTGTCTCCTGTGGGATAGTAGTCACTGGAAATGAAGAAACAGAGAAGTGATCAAAGACAAAATAAAAATGTCCAGAAAAGTGCTTTCCTTGTTTCCACTAACTTATGGAGGGTTTACAGTAATATTTATTAAATATTTACATTAAAAGTTCATTATTTCATTCCTATCCATGATTTTCTTCATATACAGTAATTACTTTTCTTTTTATTATTTAAGAGATCCTTGCAAAATGCTGTAGTTTGTGTGCAGACAGTGTGGTGTGGATTCGGGAATGACGTCCTTTCTAGAGAACATATACAGCCAGTGTTACTGTGCAATGACATTTTCTGCTTTATCATTACTCACTGGAAAAGCAGTTTTGTTTTTGACTCCAGTAAAATCTACTTTTGGCTATTTCCACATTCCCATAAACGTTCAGGTACAGCTGTTGAATAGCATGCGCTATGTTACCATTTTCAATCTGCTGTGATTTTCGGTATTAGTTAGACAAACAAAATGCTTTGGAAACAAGCTAGTAACTTAAATTGTAACTAAAAAGTTCTGGAGACATTATCTGAGAACATGAGTAAGCAATTTCAAGTTCTTGTTTTCTTAAAGATACTCCCAGTTATTCAGGTTGACATTAAATGTCAGTGGTTTTTTTTAATTGCCCTACGTGGTGTATTTGTGCTCTGTGTTAGGAAGGCAGTCTGATTTCAGTCAAAAGAAATGTCTTATCTCAATTTTTAAATCGTCTAAAAGATTATAATGTTAGAAATACAATACTTCTAATAACCAACTGTGTTATTTCCCAATCTCATTTTTATCCTTTAGTTACACTTAAGCTTTTCACTCAGTACGGGTGGAGAAGATAGTAACAAAGAAGAAAGAAAGAATGAATTGATACCGCTTCAATCCTTGAATCTCCTGCTTAAGAGTATAGGGGCCACCCTCACAGATGTACAAGATGTTGTCTTTAAGTAGGTTAAAAATATGATTATAAAGATTACTTCCAAATATTAAATCAATATTATGTATGTTAGACTTTATTTTGCTTTGCATAATAAGGACTTAGTTTTTGTCTTTTCTCTTTTAGGTTGGCATTCTTTGAACTCAGCTATCACTTCTGTACTACACAACAGCTCCAATCAGCAGTTGTAAGGCATTATTCAAAACAGGTTAGAATAAGTAAATTTCAATGTTTCAGTAAATTTATATTTTGAAAGCGCTACTGTGTGCTTTGGTTCTATGAAAATAAATAAAATTACTTTCAACCTTGTATGTTTGTACAAAAATTAAATACATAAACACATACAAAACAATTACTCATTACTTGGATTCTCTTGCCTTTATTTTGGGGGCAAGTACCATTTCCAAATCATGACTAGAGGAAAAGTGACATGGATAACAAAATAATTTGGTGGAATGCATAGTGGAAACAAGCACAATACAGCTCTGATAGAGCAGAATTGGCATATTAATGCTTTTTCTTGGACATTAGTAGCATATGAATTATGATCCCTCTTTGGCATTTTTGTACTATTGGGGTCCTGTCATCCAGTGGAGAGAATCCAGCAGACACGCTCTTGCATAAAAGAATTAGTCCTCTGCTGTCCATCCATCATTAATTATAAGGGATTCTTTGGACATGTTAATTTAGTACTCAGTCCATCTTTAAAGGAGAAAAAAACCTACACAGGGTTTTAACTGTGGAACGAGTTATCTGTTGTTCTGTGACCTTTCCTTTTTGCTGAGGGAAAATTTGAAATCTCCTAGGAGATGCTCAAGCTTTTTTTAAAATCAAGTTACACTTCATATAGACGGAGTTGTAATGTTTTGCAGTGACAATCAACAAAATTTTCTCAGCATATGCCAACAAACCTAAATTTTGTCCTGTAGTATGAGACATATCTAGGTAATGTGCTTGCTTTGTAAAATCTCAAGAACATTAATGTCAGTTATTTGTGAAATGCTTGTAAGAAGTAATGTTTGTTTGGCTGACTTAATATGATTTACTCACTGTAAGATCGTTTTCAATACAACTATTTCTACTGTTCCAAATAATTTTGAGTTTTTTATATTAAACTCCTGTTACTTTCACTTTTTTAAAAAAATCTGGGTATTCTGCACTGTTTGCCTTTGTCTTAGAGTAAGTTCTGAAATATTTTTACTAATAACTTTTTATTTTAGGCTATTAAACAGATGTATGTTCTTATTCTTGGCCTTGATGTCTTGGGTAATCCATTTGGATTCATAAGAGGCTTGTCTGAAGGAGTAGAAGCATTCTTCTATGAACCTTACCAGGTAAAAATCTCTGCTGCCTTCTTATGAAATGTAGCACAAGTAGATAGATAGGAATTATATTGAAAATGTGGATATATTAACATTTTTTTGGCTTTAAATTTATATTTAGAATTGAAAATTTAAAGTGAAAGTGCCAGGAAAATTTACTGGAAAACTCAAGTGAGATAAAAAGGAGAGAGTAGTCCATTTAACTTAATTCACAAAAGACTGTTCCTTATGGTTCTTTATTTAAAATAAATCTGCTTTTTTTCCATTTGCCTTAAAATAAGCAGACTTCAGGGAATGAATTAGTATTCTAAAATAGTTTTTCTTCTCTCACAGGTGCTCTCATGGGCACTTTTACACTTCATCACTCAGTCTTGCGCTCTTGTTCTCTTTTTTGTATATAAATTCCGATAAAAACATAAGATCAAACAGTATGCATTACATATTTTTAAAGCTTAACATAAATGTATCCGTTTTGTTATTAGGGAGCCATCCAGGGTCCTGAAGAATTTATAGAAGGAATGGCACTAGGACTCAAAGCACTAGTAGGGGGAGCTGTTGGTAAGTTTCAGCATTATCACGGTGGTATACTTAATAGTAAGCAATATAGGTAAGTATTTGTAAATTGCGTTGGCATTTTACTTTGTTTTATTTTCCAATAGGTGGATTAGCTGGTGCTGCATCAAGAATCACTGGTGCTATGGCAAAAGGAGTAGCTGCGATAACTATGGATGAGGATTACCAGCAGAAGAGGAGGGAAGCCATGAATAAACAGCCCACTGGTCTAAGAGAGGGCATCACTCGTGGTGGAAAAGGATTAGTTTCTGTAAGGAGAAAAAAATTTTTAAAAAGATTAATGAATTTTATGCAGGCAAGATTAACAAGTAGAGGCTGCTATAGTCACCAGAGAGTTGTTACTTTTTATTTTAATTCTGGTTTTGTAAATGTAAGGCCACGATTGAATGATAGTTTTGAAGAAAAATATGTGAGGATAGAAAAGAAAGTAGGAACTGTGAAGCAAGTGCCTGTAATTCTGTTAACTTGTAGTGAATTTTAGAATACTCCAACACGTGTACTTTGAGGCTATTCAGCAATGAAATAGTAAGAAAAATGTGAAAAATGAAAAATATAATTGGAAAGCATATTCATAATGTGTTTTTCATTTCTCTTGGCAGGGTTTTGTCAGTGGCATAACAGGAATAGTTACAAAACCAATAAGAGGTAAGTTTAGGTCTTCTGATACATTAACTGTTCATATGATGGTAAATTCTTGATATTTGATGAGACATTATAGATCTGAGTTATAAAACTTTTTATGAAGATTTTGTGTTCCTGGTGACTTTTAGTTTAAATGTTATTTACCTGAAGTTTGTGTGGAGAAGACTATGTGGTTACATATCAAATAAGATATGTAATTAAATGGTAATTAAGTTTGCTAAGATTGTAAGAAAAACTTGATGTTTTATAATGATTTGCTGCACTTAATTCTTTTAGGAGCTCAGAAAGAAGGAGCAGCTGGTTTTTTCAAAGGTGTTGGAAAAGGCTTAGTGGGAGCAGTAGCTAGGCCTACTGGAGGAATCATAGACATGGCAAGCAGCACATTTCAAGGCATTAAAAAGTAAGTAAAATAAATATGAAGAATGACATATGGCATGAAACAGACAATAGTAGCGGCAGTAGTAAGTTGTGTCTTTGTATCACTTCTGCGTCAATGTTTCTGGATCTCTCAACTTCGTTATTAATACAGATGAGATATAAAAAAATCTTATCCATATTGTTATTTATATAATAAATAGGTGGCTTTTTAAAAAATGCACAGTTGATAGCATTTAAAAAACACAACATCACATCTTGGTTATTTCTAGCATTACCAAAGAAACTACTTTAAAAGGCTCAGCAATCTGACTGACTTCAGTTGCTGATTTTTCCTTTTACCCCAAATATACAGGAAAAAAGGACTTCTCAGCTGCATCAGAAGTTACTTTTTATAATTGAATACTGTGATAGTCTCACTTTAATAAACCTATTGCTCTAGACTATCTCACATTGTAATGTGTAAAGAAGTAGGAGAAGGTGTTTTGAAGGGGGGGCATTTAGCAGGTTCATCTGAATACAGCTGTTTAATGGCCCTGTTCTTCTTTGCAAGCTGGACCACTTTTGCTGCCGTAAGATTGCCAGTCTTTTTTGTTTTCCACTTTAAGTTGTTTAGCAGAGAAATTCAAGAAGAATACCAGACATTTTGTAAGGCACAAATGTCTTTAATTTTGAAGATCTGAAGTACAGATAGACAATACTTAGACATTAATTAAGTACTGCAGATGTGTGCTGCCCTGTGCCATCTAATTTTCTAATGATCATTCTCTGAAACAGATTTCTGAGTAAAATCTGTTACTCTTTCATAGAATGTCTACTCAATGTCTTTTCATATGCAGAAGTATATATATAGACAACAGCAGTTGTTGTACTACTACTTGAATTTAATTTGTATTGAAAATAATTTAGAGCCTTTGCTAAATATTATAGCTAGTAGAGATATTGACACATACCATAAATTTACTCTTCTATTATCAGAGTTGCAGATTCATCAGAAGATGTGATAAGCCTGCGCCCACCTCGCTTCTTTGGTGAAGATGGAGTTATTAGACCTTACAGATTAAGAGATGGAACCGGAAGTCAAATGTTACAGGTGAAGAAAATGAAAGATAGTTTGACATACATTTGAACTCATCCTATGTTTAAATAAATATTTCATAGAATTTCCCATTTCTTAAATTCCCTACCCACCCCTACCTAGTAACTCAGTAGTCAAGAAGCTTTGTTTAATTTCTTAGATTTATGACCACTTTGGTGATTTAGTTTCTGTGATACAAGTTTTGAGACACACCATAATTTATGCAAGTATATCTGTAGAGATTTGTGCAAGATACAGAGCATTTTGAAAGAAGAAAAAGGTTTATATATGTAATTTAAAAGGTTTATGTCTTTAATTTTTATTTTTGATAAACAGTGATGGTAAACACAAAGATACTTTTTTCAGTAATTTTATAATACACATTTTAAACAGTGACTTTTTAATCTCAATTTTATGGAAAACAGCATTTTAAGCACACTTTAAATAGCTGTATTTATGTCATACTACACCTATTGAAAAAACATAAAACAGTTTCAAAGTGGAATACCGTTTGCATGAATAACATGCTGAGCAGGACTTATTCTTTAATAATTCAGTTGCCATTTAAGCAAATTTGACTCGGATATTGAAGTGGAAATAATTTCAACTGTTACGCAGCTTACAAAGTTTCTATTTTTTTCTCTGTTAGAAGTAAAACTGTGTTTTAGAAATACTCAAACATAAGAAATAAAGTAGTGCTTAGTGATTGCATAAATGTAAATGGAATTTCTAAAATACACATTGAAGGATTCAGCGTGTCAGGGAAATGTTGAAGTCATACAGAAATAACCTTTTTGGAGAAGTAGATCAGAATGAAGCAGCCTTTGGAGAGGATTTTCAGACTATTTTGAGAATTGCCACAGCTGTTTATTTCATGTCAAGTTCCAATCTGGTGGTTTCTGTTTCTTCTGCATTTCATTAGTGTGTCTTCTGTTTTCTGGTAGTAGAGGATTGTCCTGTTTGGGGCATCTCAGCTATGTTCGCCGTACCATTCACTGGTGATCTAGTTCA